CATCTGTGTGCGTGCGTGTGCGTTGTGCAGCGTAGCGGTTAGCGTGCTGCACTACGAACCCGGCGGGTCGAGTTCCATTCCCGCTCACGGCCAACGTCGGTGACGATTATCTGAACCGGTCCTGGGCTTCCCCTAGGTCGACTCAGCCTCAAATGAGTACCCGGTGCGGTGTGTAAACGTCGCCACTGGAGAGACAAAAACGTCCGGGCGTGGTGCTGGCCACCCACCCCCTCGTGTGCCGTACCGGCCTTCATAGGTGCTCGCGAACAGCACTTGCCCCAACAGTCTGTTAAGGCTATGCGGGGGATCTTTGTCTTTGTGTCTCATTTCCTGCTTTCCTCAGATTTATTTTCTTGAATACATCTCCCTCACTGGTTCGAGACAATGACGTACAGGAGCAATACTAATCTTAACGTGCCGCATGCGTTTAAATTACCACAGCCTTTATGAAAAGCGCAAAGCATTTCTTACTTGCCTTTTTTTTCTCTTCTTTCACCATTATTTTATTCCTATCCCCATATCCCCCCGTCCCGCACCCGCTACACATCCACGGCCACTATTTTCCTCGTCAAAGCGAGCGGAACCCAACCGCCGCGCATTAATTACGCGGCGTTCACGGAGAAAAAAGCAAAACGCGAACGGCACCACCGGTCGCCCCGATAGATGTCGTCGGCCTGCGGCGGCGGCGGCGACGTGATGAGACGGGGATTCGGCTGGCGGATGCCAACCGCCCGCCCGCCCCGGGGTGCCTCGCTTTCTCTCTCCGTCGCCGGGCGCAACGGCGAGCGGGGCGCATCGCCGCCGTAGCCGTCAAGTGTTTACGCGCCCGTCCACCCCCGCGGTTGCCAACTTGAAAGTGACGCCGCGTTTTGCCGCTGGGGGCCCCCCATCCCCCCCCATCCCGTCACCCCCCACCCCCCCCTTTACACCGCCCGGAGTTGAGAAGAGCTCTACACCCTTCTTATTAATTAACCGGCGCACACTGAATTAATTGTGCCTTCCTCGCCATCCTAATTGTATCCTTTTACCCTCCTGTGGGTTTCAATTGCAAATTAAGACCCAGCCGAGGCCTAATGGCGTAATTAGTCTGCGCTTTTGTACACCAATTAGGTCACGCTTTTGTCGCCTTGCCCAAGCTCTCTCCCAGTTGGCCGGCTGCCTTCATTAGCAAAAAATTAGCAGCTGCACACTTTGATAAGCAAGGAGGGGGGCGACAAGGAGAGGAGGGAGTGGGGGAAAGGCGTCGAGGTCTCTATTGTGCTTTAGTAATTAGCTAAGCAATTAGCGCCCCTAATTGTGTCGCTATTTTTTTTGTGTTTGCCTGCTGGCTTTCCTTTTTTATTTTTTGGAGGCGCCGAGTAATTTCTTCCCCGCTAGGTATCATGAAGTTGTTTGGGTTTCGTGGTCCAGGCAGTTTGATCAATGGGCGCGGGGCGATGCGGACGATGTTTCTTTTGTTGGGCGCAGACGCACCGCGCCGCGCGCTCGCTCGTGTGCCACTTGCGATTGCACTAACCCCCCCCTCCACTCTCTCCCCCCCCCCAACCCTACTTAATAACGAACACAGTTCACCCGGTACCGTTGGCCCAAGCTGCAAATGGAAGAAATCACAATTTAACGCTGGCTCGCTGGCGGTGCTTACCCAGGCAATTAATTACTTGTGTTTCAACCGAGCCTCGCTTGGCACTTGGCATTTAACAGCGAAAACAAAGGTGAATCCCTCGGTGATTTGGCCTCCCACACAGCGGGGTGATTTGTTACTTAGACCGAGCTTGTAACGAGTCATAAACTAAACTGCATGTGCTTCAAATTACGCCTAAAAACACGCTCCGGGTTTATAATAAACTGAGAGCATTTGAATTGTTTCTTTTATTCGCCCCCTTTTCTTGTTTTGTGTATAGATTTTTTCAAAATATTGCATTTCTTAGCACCTGCTTATGGGCCACGGATAAAAAAAAATCGTAAGTTCCGAGTTTTTATTTATTTCTTCTCACGTAAATCATCGGCACGGTGACTCGTCACTCTCAATTCTGCGTCCGACCCCTTGCCAAATACGACGCGCATTGACCTCGTATTATGCGCGAATCACCAAGCCGCATTTTTTCCGACGTTCGCGGGAGATCAATGCCCCCCGCACGGCAGCGCTGCTTTCCCCGCCAGCGCGGCGCATGTGGGAGATTGCCCCGGTGCCACAAATGATGCTCGTTTTGAGCACCGCGGGAATATCTCAAGCGTCATGGGCCTGGGTTGAAAAATACGAGCAGCTCGGACAGGAAGGACACTTCTCTCGAAGGGATGATGACCCGGTGCCAAAGACTAACGATGGAGTGGCAGCCGGTGAAGAGAACACACCCGGGAGTACGTCCACACCTCGGAGACGGAGCTATGAAATAAGCCCAATGTGCAGGAGCTATGTGGATTGTTACATCGTGGGACTGTGAGAGATGGTGATGACTTAGGGGGGCCTTTACCCAGCAGTGGATAGATCATGAACGATGACAATTGATGAGGCCTGGGATTTGAGGTGGCTGGATTGGCCAGACAAATATGGATCATTGAATCAATCTGAGCGCAGCCTTGGATGCTATCTCCTCAATTGTGTGGAGTTTTTTTTCTTCTCCGAGATCTCCCATATCCTCCCAAACGGAGCCAAATTATGACCACAATTGGTTAAGTAACGGTGCAGCCCTGCAATTTATTGTTCACGCCCCATTGCTGGAGGAAGAGTCCCTCATGAGAGGGAGCTTTAGAGAGCCCCGCTAGAGAGTATTTGGCCTACTGTTCCATTCTGGGCAGAAATTCTGGAAGAGGTGAGAGCACCCACACTTTACACCACCACACGCAGACCTGCCGATCAACTTAACTGTGCCCTTAGGTTTTTTCGGTAAAGTCACGTAGGTAAAAAATTAAAATCAATAAAAGTGAAATAAAAATAAAATAAAAATCACGACGTTTCGGAGGCAACACAAGCTCGAACCTCACAAAAATAATATTCAGGGCCTACCTTGGCTCCTCCCACCCTCAACCAGTATATATAAAAATACGGTTTTCTTGGAATTTCTCTCACTTGATACAGCTATCGTGCTGTGACTGTTCCACCTGAAGACGGACGCTTGTGTTGCCTCCGAAACGTCGTGATTTTTATTTTATTTTTATTTTACTTTTATTAATTTAAAATTTTTACCTACGTGACTTTACCGAAAAAAACCTAAGAATATGAATCCTTGCAGTCACGAAAGCTTCAAATCTAGAATTAACTGTGCCCCATTTATACTGCTCGGTGAACAGAGGCGTGGCGGAATGTAATGAACCTGCCCGTTGTTTTTGAAGGCCACGCTGGGAGATGTGAATCGAACCAGTGATCTCTGAATAGCAAGTTCAGCATGCTAACCGTTATACCGCTGCAGTGTCCGGTAATAATAATTTAAATTCATAAAGCGCTTATAAACAATCGTTGTCAGGGAGCTATGCATGGAAAGGCGGAACATAGCTGACAACAACCAAGTAAAGAAGTATGTTTGAAAATAACTAAAGAGAGAAAACGATTGATTAGAAGCTTTCGTGACTGCAGGAATCCATACTCTTTGGTTCACAAAATAGATCACGACGTTTCGATAGCAACACAAGCCATCGTCTTCAGGTGAAAATCGCGATAGCCGCGATGTCTACTGCGAGCAGCACGATGTCTGCTGCCTTGTGAAGAGAAGCTGTTACCAGCAAGAGTTTATACGAGTTATTTAGTTTTATTTCTACCTACGTGACTTTACCGAAAGAACCATAGGGCATAGAGAAAACGATTTCAAACAGATACGTTTTCAGTTGAGATCTGAAGATTTGTAAAGTGTCCAGAAGTCGTGACCTCCAAGGGGCAAGGAGTTTAGGTGCCGCAACTGCAAAGGCACCGTCACTCCCCCCCCACCCCCCCCCATCAAGTGTGAAGCCAAGAGACCGTGGGACAGTGAGCAATGCACAACCTGAAGCTCTTAATGATCTTGATGGAACATATGGCTAAAGGAGGTCTTGAATGTAGAGAGGAGCAAGTCCATTTCACAGGAATCCTCCTGAAAACAAGCATTGATCAGCACTCGGCGAGGTTCTCCGTGGCGAGACGACAAGCACGAGTCCCGGAGCGGAGGAGGAGGAGGGCGAGAAAGCACTCACTGCACCCACAATAAAGGTTTTGGTTGGGTTAGATCGCGTCAAAATAAAATGTGTCGTGCAACCCGCCACCACCCGACGCAGCCAATTAGTAAGGTTTGTTATGTAAGAAGAAACGTGCCAATTAGTTACTCCTTCAGCACACAGCGTTTACAATTCGAGTACAACATTTACAATTGTGGGCTTACTCTCCAACACACCGGTGTGCTGAACTAGCAACTAATTGGCACGTTTTGCTCACGTGAGAAACCTTACTAATTGGCTGCGTTGGGTGGTGGCGGGTTTAACGACACATTTATATTTATGCGTCTAATATTGGTTGCAAAAGCCTACTACGTGGGGCGAGATATTAACTTCCTCGCCTGGTATACAGGAGGTCATAGGTTCGATCCCGACCCTGACGCCTGTATATTTGCAGTTTGCACGTTCTCCCCGTGGTCGCGTGGATTTTTTTCTGGGTCCTCCTGTTTTTCCTCCCACATTTTGAAACATGCCTTTAGAGTTATTTGGCTGCTATAAATTCCCACGGGATAAGCCACTTATGAGAGAAAAAAAAGCTGCACATAACTCAGTAGGCTTTACCTGGCTACATAACAACAAACTGTTTAAATTTCGATTTAAAGCTTTCGTGACTGCAGGGATTCATCTTCTTGGTTCTTTCGATAAAGTCACGTAAAAGGAAAATAATAAAATAATAAAAATAAAACATTATAAAATATTTTTTAAACATAATAAATATTTTATTATTGTTATTTTTATTATTTTTTTATTTTCCATTCTACGTGACTTTACCGAAAGAACCAAGAAGAACAAACTGTTTAGTTTAGTGTCGCTAAACTCACCGCATGGGCGACCGGACGGGGCTGGCTCCACGGCTGCTGCCGTTGAAGTGCTCCATGGAGCCGTTGAGCTCGTCCTGCACGGCGTTGAGCATGGCTACGGCGGCCGGGTTAGCGAGGCCGGGCGCCAGGAACGACAGGCTGCTCTCTGCGAGGGCCGCCTGCCAAGCACATGCGCACACACGAGCCCACGCACACGCGCACAGAGATTAAGGTTTGCCGCCCAGGGTTCGCGGCTGCCATTGGAACCTGGCGGGATCACAGCCCAGCGCGTCCGCCAAATACTACTCCAGTGAGCATTCTGCACGTCCGATTAGCGCGGTTGGCTACGTACGGTGCAAAAGAAGTTCAACATACCTACGTACACTCGAGTACGGTATCCTATAAAGAAAGATCCTCCCTCTCCACCACTCCTAGCGTAGCTTTTAACAGACGGTTGGGGCAAGTGCTGTTGGAAAAGGCCTATTAAGGCTAACGCAGCGCATTAAGGGGGTGATTCTGCCAGCACCACGCCCGGCCACTTCTGTGTCCCAAGTGTTGATGACAACTTACACCACCAGGTCGTCATTTATGGTCGATTCATATTCAACGTTTTTGTGTTTAGATCGCGTTATTTATAAATGTGTCGTAACCCTCCACCACCCGACACGGCCAATCAGCAAAAAAGTGTCACGTTGACAAAAGACAAAGAGTTCACTGCTTTAGCCCACCGGTGTGTTGAAGCGTGAAACCACAACATTTACAATTTGAGTAGCACGACGTTTCGCTGGTAATTGCATCCAACATCATCGGGCAATTCGCCAGCCTACGTGTTAAACTGATTTATGGTCGAGTTGACCTAGGCGAGGCCCAGAACCAGTTCTGACGTGACTTGACACTGTTGCTAGCCATGGCTGGGAATCGAACCTGGTTAGCTGGGTTTGTATGGCAGGTGGGTAGGCTGCTACACCATCACTTCTCCATACAAACACCATACGCGTTGGATTTACACCCTGAACGGTGTGCCCACACGTATTCGTGGGCAAAAATGTATTCGATCAGAGCGTAACGATGCATCGATGAAACGACTGGTATTACTTTTTATATTGGCACATGTTGTATGCTGCGATGGGGTCTATGGGACCCCTGCAGTCACGAGCGGGTCGCTAAGTTCACCGGCATCAAAAAAATCTAGAAGAATTGAGTTATAAATCGAATCAGCACCCTGAATTGTGACATTCCATCGAATCGTAATGTGGATGGGGGCGATTGGCGGGTGGTTGTTCTGCAACACAAACTCACTCGCTGCAGACACACGCCTGGCACACAGAAGCTCGTGTAAGAAAACACGGAAAAATATTCACACTCCGATATGAACGTGCAAACACACGTGGCACCACACGTGCACAAACACACAGAGGTTGAACCGTTAAAGCAGCATGTGCCCGCCTATCCTTGATTCACAAACATGCAGTTTTAATAATTTACAGGCACGTGAGTAAGTACAAGTCCACATTTTACCGCCCTCCACAAATTTTTTTTTAAATACCAAACTAAATATTGACAAACCTCCCCGACTCGAAATGACGGTACGAAAATCGGAGGAAATAATTCAGCTCGGCAGCCAGGCTAGCTCTGCAGCGCCTCGTTCTCTTCACGTGAACTTTCCAGGCGCTTCACAGGAAAAGCCTGTCCGGTCCCCCTTGCATGCAAGGGGGACCGGATAGTGAGCAAAGTCGTACAAGGGGGGAAATTCTCCACGCACAGCGTGAGCCGAGCCAAGGAGCTGGAACAACGTTACAGGCCGCCGGCGCCGAGCGAATGCCGGTGGACGACCTGGCCGGCGATTCCAAGGGGACATTTCTTGTGTTACACCTCGTCCCAACGTTCTTTTTCCCGAAACTGACCACGGCGAAGTTGGCACTTGCACTGCTCCAAGTGAGCACGGGGGGAGAGAGGCACGGGGCTAGTGACGTGAGCTCCCCCAACAGCCGCCTAACGAAACAGCCTGTTTCCGGCCGAAGACAGTAGAAATGCGCAAAGGCGTCCAATTAAATGGTAACGTAACGTGTCACCCCGCCCTCTCCGAAATGGTAATGATGGAACAGTGAGCGGGGACTCGTGCCCTTTTCAAACCACGCCGCTGCCGCCACTACGACATATAAATACAGCGCCGGCACACTGTGCATACGCACATCCGCACGCGCAAGTACACGCATGGCACACGTGCGCGTGCAGAGAGTGGCACGTACGTATATACATGCATGCGTATTTTAACGGCATTCCGAAGCTGGACAACCCCCCAAAAATTTGTTGTAAATATATGCGGGGGCACGCGTGTGCGTGTGTGCGTGCGTAAACGCGCGTGTGCGTGCGTGCGTACGTACGCGCGCTCGCACGCGGCTTGATTGCCGTGCAGCGTTTGAGAAAGCCTGACGCGGCGTGACCATTAGAGCAATGAGAGCAGAAAACAGGCGAATGTTAACAAGGCCGAACGGACACGCCGGCCTGCCAGGGCTCCTCCTCCGCGCGTCTCGTCGCTCTGCCGATGTAAACAAAAAATGCTTTCACAGCGCCTGTCAGCTCCGATTAGGGCCATCAAGCCGGGCCTGCCAGTCCGCCGTGGTTCTACGCGGACACATTTTGCGGTCCGCGGTGGCGGTGGGTGATGGGCCGGATGGGCAGCGGGGGGCGGAGGAGGGGGATGTCGACGTTCGCGCTCTTGCACGATGATGGGGGGAAGAGCCGCAGACGGACGCACTCACGCACTTTTCCCCCCGTGCGCCCACCCCGCCGCCGCCGCCGCCGGGGGCTCGCGTGGCCACGGTTGCAGGCGGCCACGCCCGTGAGTGCGGCGGAGAAGACACACGTCGTCGGCAACGTCGGCAATAAACACACCGGGCGCACACAATTAAGACGCCCGCAAGGACGGGCGCGTGGCGCGCGGGAGACGCGCAGGAATTAAAATATTCCCAGTCCTACTTTGTCTACGAAACTTCAACTCGGCTTAATAGCTTAAAGTGACGTGAATTACATCGATATTAAAATGCCCCTTTCCATCTATCTGCTGAAGATGCACAATGGCAAGCGAAATTGAATTAAAGTTATAAAACACTAAAGCGTTCATTCAGCTCTTACGCTGATTTAAATAAGAGCCGTTCCGTATATTTTTCTGCAAAGGTCACGCAGACGGCAAAGAGCCAATTAATCAATTAAAGCGGCGACTAAAATGCTACCTCGTGAAAATATCTACGTGAAATCATTCCTGAACTATGATAAATTAAAACACTGGCAACACTTCCCGGGCTATCATTCAAGTTATGCAAAAACAAATCTTGATAATCTCTGTGGTTAAAGAAAGTGGACTTCGTGAGGAAATCAACAGTGGTTATCCTAACGGAGAGACTCGTCCCTGCCATAGGAATGTGTAATTTCCACCACTGGCTGCGCTCATTTGAGCAGAAAGATCACTTTGACGACTTTTCACCCTCTTCCACCACACCGTCCTGTATGGGCGGCACCGGCTTAAAGAAGGGAAGTTGCGATATTTTATTAAAACGGCGGCGTCATTTAGTCTGAAATGTACACTTTTATCCTGGGCGCAAAAAAAAAGACAAAAAAAAGAGGCAGGCGAGGGACGAATCAGGCAAATGCGCTCCAGCCTAAGTGCTCGCGTGACGCACATGATTTGCCTAATTCAGACAAATGGGCGGCGAATGCATTTATGTGCGGGACCTGCAGAGCTGGCGCAAAGCAAAAAAACACAACCGCGCGGTCCACTGCGGCTTTCCCGCTGAGGCAAGCAGTCGCTGTTTAGTGTGTTCAAACGCTTTAGGGGAGAGAGGGAGAAAGAAAGAAAAAAATGTCAGGACGAATTCGGCCGGGAAGATGCTTTGTGTCAGAGGAGGGAGAGCTTTCCCTCTCCTTTATCTAAAATAAAATATAAAATAACATCGCTCGACCGTCGTGTTCTGGCTATGTCACCTGTCCTTTGCCCGACGACATCTCAAGAGAGTGATTTTCATAACCTTTCATTGAGTGCCGGCTAGAGGCTTGGACACACACGCCGTGGCACCTGTCCGCGGGAGCCGCGTTCCTCCCAAGGTGCGGCCCAGCCTCGCTCGGTCGCACCGTCGCATTTGTCTCACAACTTTGATGCGCCGTTTTCCCCTCCCTGTGTCTTCATTGCTACAAAAGCTCTTGTTACTAATGTCGGTGCTCTTGCGCTGACTAGCAAAAAATATATATATATACGTGTTATTTTGTGCACGATCAAATCTACAATTACCCAAAAAAAATAACGTACGTATTCTTTGCGTTTCCGGTGTGGTGTGTAAAATAATCAGCAGCGGGGAGACAAAGGCGGCCGGGCAGTGGTACTGGTAGCAACCACCCCCTCCCCGTGCACCGTGTCGCACTTTCGCAGTGTGTTCGCTCGCAGCATGTGCTCCAAAAGCCCTTGCGGGCTCCACGGCAGATCTTTGCCTTCGCCTCAGTCTCTGACCATGGGCGACCTTGACTGAGTTTGGAAAAATAACGACTCGACTGGCGCGTAAACATATAAATGGATAATGGTTGACAGCGAGCCTGTTTAGACTCACGTTTGCATAGGACATAAATATTCCATTTGTCCGTGTCGGTGCGACCTGCGCCCTAGCGATGGCTACCGGTGCCCTCCCTGCCTCCCGCCGCTGAGATCACACTCTGCTCTGTCACCGTCTTCTCTCCCTCCCGACGACACGGTGTTCTCGAACGCAAGCGGGAGAGAGAGAGAGCTACGATGACTTCACTCACTAACACGGGCGGGGGGGCACGGTGTTAAAACAAAACGAAAAATACCCCGACGAAACGAGAAAACTTGCCGACAATAATCACCCCGGACTATTACGTATATACATACGTAAAATAATAATAAGAAATGCGAATTATCATCGGCGTGCATATTGTGAATGGGCAGCTTTATTTAATATATTGATTCGGGGGAAAATTTAGTGAGCAAATCCTGCCGGCTGTTTCAAGGCATCTCCGTGCGTGGAGGGTTTTGCGGCGACATTAAAAATGCAAACGTGAAAAAAGGGTTAAACTTTGAAGCAATTTCTGGCCTGCGGTGCTGTCACAAGGCCAAGCGCGAGACACCAAATCACTCCTGACAGTGGTAATTAATATTAATGAGGTAGAGGAGGAGCTCTCTTTTATGAACCTGGCGGAATATGCGCGTGGCCAATGTGCACGTGCTTACGCATGTACGCGCGTACGTGCGTACCCGTCACATTCTCAACGATCGGCTTCGCGCCCTAAATCGACTGCCAAACGCGCCTGAGAAGGTGCGCGGGAAATCTCGCCGCTTCGGTAGCGTCGGCACGGGGCGGCGCCACCGAAAGTCGTTGGTCTCGTCGCGCGAAGCAACGACCCGCGCGCCCTCACGACCACATCGCCTCTGGTGGACTACCGTGCCGGTCGTCTTTTGAAGCGTGCTGGAACCGATTTGCTGCGGTGCTCGCGTGCGTGCATGCGTGTGTGCGGGGCAATGGGTTAACTTACCTGTAAACTGGCATTCAATGCGGCGCCAAAGCCAAGGCCAGCCTGCATGCTCTTCATCAGCGATGGACTTCTGCGGTGTGAAATTAGGCCGGGATGCGGTGGGGATGGGGGAGGGGGGCAGGGGAAGGGGTGGGGAGGGCGATATGGCAAGCATCAGAAAGACAGTTGTCATTGGCCCCATTAATGAGACTTGACAGAATAGGGAAGAGCGTAGACAAAGCTTACCACACATTAACCCCCGACGAAATATAAATATTAAAATCTGTCCAAGCAGAGCTGCCGCGCCTCTCTCTTAAGAGTTCGCAACTGCCTCTAAAAGCGGTGATAAATTTTCGGTGGGTGAAGCAATAGAAGTGAGCTTCAATTATGGAGGGGGGGGAGAGCGGCTGAGTGATGTGCTAATACCACCATTTTTGGACATAAAATGAGCTGCCTTGTAGCAAAAAAGAGATTTTTTGCAGATAAAGGCACATTTCCTTGACTGATCAAGCCCGAGGGGCACCCACAAATTACATGGGGGTGCTCGTGTACGCACGTACGCGTGCCGTTTAACAGTAGGACAACAAATGATAACGTGCCGGCAAGTGATGGAGGCCTGGACACTCGCCACTGCCGGCGAGGACCGTGGCATCGAGAGGCGAGATGGGGCATCTCGAGGAAAGCAAGTGGCCAACTCACTTCCTCCCCAGGGTCAGGGCTAAAACACGAAGGGCGCGCCGCTCCCTTGCGGGCATTGCCCCGCCTCGTCAGCTCACGTCTAACAACAAACTTGGAACGTGCATTTGAAAAAGACATTTTCCCATCCATATTAATAAAAACATCGGCGAGGAGTGGCGTTGCTGCCGAACAGGGTGGAAATGTGCACGAGTAGAATGAAGCGAGGCCACGGTGCAGATGGAGCGGAGCATGCGTGCGCGCGTGCGGACAAGCGAGCGAGGCAAGCGAGCAAGCGAGCTGAGCGAGGGTGCATGAAGCGAGGGGGGGGGGGTGCCTGCCACGCCGGTGGGCCGGCGCGGCGGCCGCCGACGCCCGCAGCCGCCTCGCTGCCTTACTGGAGCGTGAACCCTGCGAGGGACACGTCGGAGGCCAGCTGGCCGAGCTTGCGTGGTCGGCCGGGCTGGCAGTGGCGCGCCCGCTGGAACTCGGACTCGTCCACGGTCCAGAACGAGCCGTACTGGTCCTCCACGCGCACAAAGCACTTGTGCACCGACAGGTTCGTGCGCACCGCGCCCTTCGCGGCAGGGTCGTCCGCGTCGGGGTCAGGCGGGGCAGCGGGGGGTAGCAGTGGGCAGAAGCGAGCGGCCATTGGCGGAAGCAATGGGGTTGGGTGGAAAGCGGCGGTCGGGCGGAATTTTGAGGGTGCCGTGTCGCGGAGTTTCGGATCGGGGAGCGGCAAGGCGGCCGGCAAATGGCGGGGTTTATTGAGCGGCGCATGCAGAAAACAAAAACACACAGAGCAAAAATAAAAATTAATTACATGAGGAAAAAAAACCACAAAGAACATATGACATGTCGAGCATGTAGTTTCCCAAGCTTGTCACACCTGGGAAAATGTGTACAGGAGAATACTTTGAAATTTCAAAGAGCATTATAAAAAAATTATAAAGCACTGAAGCGGTAGCAATCTAAATTCAGCCATTATCGGAGGTTACCATTGCAAATGTATTCCATTACAACAAATTGTGCGTTGTGTTTTGACAAGCATGGCACATGCGGATGAAAAAAAAAACGCGCGTATGCGCACACAAATAAGCAGTTGGGGCAGAGCACAAAGACAGAATAGTCCCTTGTCAAACCTGCCGGGACGTCACCCGATCAACATAAATGCCCCGCTGGATGGCAGAGTTCACCGCCGTTTCATGAAACGTTATCATGATCCAGCATGGACTGTAGTTGTTTTGACAGGGCAATGTCTTATCTGGTTTGATAAGGTGCTGGGCCCTCTCCCGAGCAGAAGCAAAAGCGCGCCTGACTTGAAAGTGGCAGTCGCGTCGCCGGCCAGCACAGGCAGCAAGCAAAGCGCAGCGGGGTGACGGGAGGGGAGGGGGGGTTGCAAGATCCTGCCCAGCTCCTGCGTCTCAAACAATCGGGGGAACCGTTCCCGAAGCAGGAGGGGCATTCTGATCGAGCCAGCGGCGGCTCCTGGCTCCAGGGTGAGAAGGCAACTGCCGGGTTCCACCTCGGGGTTTTTCCAGTCGCAGCTTAAAGGCATCGCGATGATGACGATGGTGATGGCGACGAGTGGATAGACGAAGACGATGATCGCCAAGTGGGACTTGACAAGTCTTTGGAAAATTATGTCATTTTGGTGATCGCCGGACACGTCGCCGAGTTAGAATTTAAATTATTCTTTCAATGACTCAACGTATGGTGGTTTTAGGAACGCTCCAAATATTCACGGCACATTAATACTCTACATTTATAGCAATACTAATATTATGATGATGATGATGATAATAATACTACGACGATGATAATCGTGATCATGTAATGAATGATGAAAGTGATCATGTAATGAACGATGATGATGATGGGCCCCCTTCCAGCAGACGGGTTTCTCCTGGGAAGCTGCATAAAAAATTTCCCGACGTTGGTGAAGCCACAACAATCACCGGCGTTCCAATTACTCGGCGAATCCAAGCGCGGTCATTTATCAACGGGGATCTGGAAAAACCCGGAGCGGAGTCTTTAGCTTCCTCAGCCTAAACCCACGAGGGCGCTTACCGAGGACACGGGAGCGTAACGGCGCGGGACAAGCTGTTGTGGCTGCGGCAGGCGGACATGCAAAAGCTGACTCGGCTCGCTACACCGAACACGGAAAGCAAGCGGCAGAGGTGCGCGTTGGTGGATGCTGGCGCATGCGTGCCGACGCGTCGGGGAGTTCATCCGCTCCACTCGACGCGGTTCCACGGGATTAGTGTCTCCCGTTTCTTTTCGTCGCAGGTTTTTTGGAGCAGCCCAACGTACCCAGTGATTTTCTGCGGCCTTCGCTTTTGGAACTCTAGCTCGTCCACCGTCCAGACGGCTCCTTTTACGTTCTCGACGCGAACGAAACACTTGTGCAGGCTGAGATTGTGCCTCACAGCGTTCTTCATTACGAGCAGCGTTCGGGAGAGGGGAGGTGAAAGGGGTGGGGGGGGGCATCAGTGCAGCGCAAGGGGGAGAAAAGAGAGAGTAAAAAAACTACAAACAAGAAACACGACTGCGGGTTGTGCGGCACAGCTCTCCGACGTGTTTTCGAGGGGACTGCAGTGCGCGCCTTCATCGGCACGACCGTTTAAAGATTTTTCCAAGGATTCCGATTTCTGCAAACCTCACCCAGGACGTGCCAAAGGAAGTGCGTTCCAACCCGGAAACACGCCGGTAGAGCTAGGACGCGAGCAACGAGGCAAACTTTCGTGAAGCTCAACTCAAACGCCTCCTTACGCTCCAATCTCAGGTCACACAAATGTCAATCACCACTGCGAGTAAAACACAAGCTGCCTCTGCCGCGCAGCTACGAGTGCAACAATGACCCAAAAGTGCACTGCCTCTGTAGTAAGTCTCTTTTTAATAACGCGAGCTATTTATCTGCGTGCGCCTTTCATGCAACACTTTGTAATGCATCTCGAACCACGCGCGTTCTACCCAATCTGCAAAGTCATGTGACCCCCCCCCCACCCCGCTGTGCCATCACCGAGCCCACGCCGCAAATGAAACGCTGCATCTCGGCCGTGTGTATTCCAAAAAAGATATAACTTTAAATAAAAACGAAAAGCTGTATATAAACGACGGAACCATTACACGTGTTCAGCGCTTGTAATTGACGCTCCTTAGATGATGTTCACGAGACCCGTCAATGGAGGGTTGTTTCCGCATAAATCAGACACAAAGAGGCGTGGAACTGTGGCAGCGTGTGCCATGTTGTCTAAAGCGTCACAATTACGGTTGTACCAATTCCACACACGCCATGTCCACCGTCGCTTTCGGATGTCTCTCGCGCAGCGCCGGGATATAATTTATTTTTCTTTTCTTCTTTACTTTCAGGCCCTTTCTACCATAGGCCCGGTCGCGGTTAGCTCATTTTGCCTTGAGTGAGGAGGAAGACAGGGCTAGGGATCTTGGTCATCCATTATCCCCCGCATGCCTGTCGGGTCCACGCCTGTCCTCCTGGCTACAGAGAAATCTCCGAACGCAAGTGGCCAATATCTGCTGTCTCTCGCAGTTCCCTTGCCATGACCTTCAACCGACAAATTTACATGAGACCTTTCTGTCTCATTCTCTCGGCACAATTTCCATATTATAATTACATTTTATGTCCGATGAGTCATCGGAAGCAAGAAGGCAAATCGCGCATCCCCCGTTCCACCCCTGCTTCACGCACTTCTTAAGAGCAGAATAAGTTTTATTATTATTATTATTGCTATTACGGTATGTAAATGGTATGTTTGGTCTGTGTACAATGCGTTTCACGATTACAAATATGTTATCTAATTTTCCGTCAGTGGCGTGCACAGCTGTTAACGACGCTATAATAACCACAAGGGGTGCACTTCATTGAGGGGGCAGTCCTTTGGGGAGGCGATTTGAAATCACAAGGACTTCCCTATTAACATATCGTATCTCTTGCGATCCTGTGTTTGCGGCACCTTAAGAAAAACATCTTGGTTTATACGTATCACGTAACAAAACGAATACACGGTCGATTTGATTTTATACAGCCCTTTGTGTTAAGCCACTCTTGGATGGGCCTTCCCTCCCAAGCTATTTCGGTCGCGTAGGTTGCTTGATCATACTTCACCGTGCTGGACGTTACAGATTGATGCCAGCACCAGTTCAGATCATTGCTTGCCACCGATCGAAATCACCACGGTGACTTCGTCACCAGCCACCGTGATCTACCCACTGCTGGATGAGTGCTGCTCCAAGCTGTTGCCGTGCTCCCCCCCCCCCCCACCCCCAACATCAACCCCCCATTTAGAATATGAAGAAAAGGCGTGGGTACAAATCTAGTAGCATTTTCACTTTGTAATGGCTTTATTGCTGCGCTGTCTTGCGCCGTATATATCCTTCCAGTTGTCATTATACGTTCTTCTTACCGCTCTGCCTCCCAAGAGCATTCCAGACGTGAACGTAATCCCTTGTTTTCCCCTTTTCCCATTGTGTTTGCTTGTTCACCCGTCAATTCACATCTCGTGCCACCGTCCCCAGCCACTCGCGAGTCTCTTGTCGACTGCAGGCATGAGCTGCCCGTGCAACGGTAAATGCCAGACATGTTTTCGTATGTTTATTGTCACTGCTTGTAAATGTCTCGAGGTGTTTGTCTCTGTCCCTGTCAGCGGCGTGTCAGCCGGCGTAAGCTCTTTCCCCGTCAGGTTGTCACTAAAGTTTGAATAATGCGCATACCGCACCGCACGCTGATTTAGCGTCATTGCGCCGGCAGACGTACGCGCAAACCGTAAACAGCACGCGGTGTCCCTGCTATGCATTCTCACAGTGCCTGCCATTATCTTCAGTAGCCCAGATATATCCACTGCTGGATGAATGCCTCTTGAAGCTGTTGCCTGTAACACAGTCTCACGGTGACGTTAATTCTAGATTTGAAGCTTTCGTGACTGCAAGGATTCATACTCTTAGGTTTTTTCGGTAAAGTCACGTAGGTAAAAAATAATAAAAATAAAATAATAATAAATGAAAATAAATTAATTAAATCACGACGTCTCGAAGGCAACACAAGCCTCCTCACGGTGACGTGTTCATCATCCTCATCATCAGCCATGATATATCCACTTCTGGATGAATGCCTCTTGAAGGTGTTGCCATGTTCCCGTTGTACATTCTCACAGTGCCTGCGTCATCGTCATCATCATCAGGAGCAGCACCAGCCACCATCTATCTACTGCTGAATGACAGTCTACTAAGCTCTCGCCATCCCTCACTCGATTGATCTTTGATTTAACATCGATTTGTCCCGACAGTTTGGATTTCTCATGCGGCACCGTTGTTTTTGTTCTGATTTTCCACGTCTTCATCGCTTGCCGTTATTTTGTTTTATTTCGTTTGTTTTGCTGTTGTCATTTTGGTGACCTGTGCGACATTCGTGCAAAACTAGACTCGTTCTGGTCTCTTAAAAAGGTCTCAGCAGGTTCAATAATGTCAACTAGGAACTTGAACCTTCTCACAATGGAACAATCCATCTATCCGGTTGCACGTCAGTTGATCTCATTGCTCCCACCCATGTGTGTGTGTGTGTGCGTGCGCGAGAACAAACACACAACCTTATGCATTGAAATGAAATAATTGCATGTGTGCACATGCGCGCGCACACACTCACAAACACAAAGATCCCCCGTATAGCCTTAACAGACTGTTTGGCAAACGCTGTTAGCGAGCGCCAATGAAGGCCGACCAGCACACGAAGGGAGTGAGTGGCCAGCACCACGCCCGACCGCCTTTGTCTCCCCAGGGGCGATGTTAACATATCACACCAGGTAATAATCTGAGACTAAGGCGACCTAGGGGAGACCCAGGACCGGTTGAAATAATCGTCACTGGTGTTGGCCGTGAACAGGTATCGAACTCGGGCCATCGGGTTTGTAGCACAGCACGCAAACTGCTGCACTACTGCTCCCTACAAAGACAAAGATCCCCCATATAGCCTTAACAGACTGTAGGGGCAAGTGCTGTTAGCGAGCACCTATAAAGGCCGGCACGGCACACGAGGGGGTGGGTGGCCAACACCATGCCCGGCCGCCTTTGTCTCCCCTAATGGCGATGTTTACACATCGCACCAGGTACTCATTTAAGACTGAGTCGACCTAGGGGAGGCCCAGGACCGGTTCAGATAATCGTCACTGGTGTTGGCCGTGAGCGGGAATCGAACCCGGGTCGCCAGGTTCGTAGCGCAGCGCGCTAACCGCTGCACTACTGCTCCCCACACACGCACGCACAGGCACGCACACACGTGGGTCACACACACGCACACATTACAAAGTCCCAAGCCACTGAAGGCAATGCATAACTTGCAACTATTTTAATACATTTGTTTGCTTTCAATGTGCGTGACTCAATTTTCTGAAATATGTCTATTAGGGTCTCTCTCTATATATAGCAAATAAGTGAGAAAAATTACATTTGTTTAATCTCATTGACAGTTGCTTTTTTTCCCCCCATGGCCCAAGAGGCATAGTTCACTGTGACTGACTATAAAGGAGGTTTTTTTTTTAAAGTCGTGATATTTTTAAATAAATAAATAACTGTCCAGTATAACCCCCTTTTTTATAAATAAGAAGAAAGTTTGGTTGAGTGAAGTTTAAATATTCAACAGCTTAAAATGAAAACATGTCATCATGCACAAGACAAGCTAACAGGAACTGAAAGGTAAAGAGGTTGGGCAAGGGGACTTGAGTGCACACAATCCGAAGCTGTGCCCTGCGCCACTGCAACACGCTATCTGTGAAACGCTCAAAGTAGGGGACTTGACATCTTTTGAAACTGATGTCGTTTTTTGTGATCGCCTGACACGTCATTGAGTTAGATTTTCAACTTTTCCTTCCATTACTCTGCGTTTGGGTGAGTTTAAAAAAAAAATTGAATTCCCTGTGCCCCAAATATTCATGGCACATTCAATATTTAAGCTTCTAACAATGACAATAATAATATGATCACGGTGATCATGGCAATGATGAGATGATGGCGGCGATGATGATGATGACGACAATTATGACTATCTCTACTACTATTGCCGGGTTGATGACGTTATTGTAAAAGCTTTATTTTTAAAAATGTATAACCCGCAACGCAGTGACCTGGATCCTGGAATGAACCTTGCAAGGACTGCTACACAACGGACTCACCTGAGACGAAGTCTCCTCTCACCCCCTCAATACACTGACTCTCGCTCGGTAAAGACGCAGCTCCGTTGCGAGCGACGATTCGTGCTACCGCTGGCGGACGGGCCTCCACGAGAAGGAGCCAGCCCTTGGCAGCCTCCTTCTTGAGGAGGGTACATGGGACCTACTCTCTTTCGCGCTGGCCAATGTTGTTGTAAAATATCAGAATCAGAATCTCTTATTTAGACTGGAGGAGGACCCCGAGACAGCTACGAGGCTCTGTTTCACAGGCGGCCACAGTATGGGCAGATCGGCAAAGTCGCAACAGCAAACGGTAAAACAATAAGACTGAGAGTATGAAAAATAGGTTTTACCCTTTCTGGCAATACAACTTTACACCACCACCACCGCCGCCACCACATGCCGGTACACTAACTGTGGTTTTAACTCTCGGGGTGGACACATGGAGGAGGAGGAGGCGGTGGAGGATAGGAGAATGAATAAACCTGCACCATTGTTTCAACTGTCGCGTCGCGAGATCGAGCCGGTGACCTCTGTCTGGACTGCGAGTGCCATGCGTTAACCGTGGCACTACGGCCGCCGTATCCCCCCCCGCGCCCCCCCGGATTGACTCCCCAAGGCAGGAGGCCCGCCGCTCGCCAGCTCCCTCCCACTCTGAGCCCACAGGGGAGAGGGGGGGAGCGGTGAGGAGACGAGGGGGCCGTTAGCCTCGTTAATATGCAATCGCCGAGGCAACCGCTAACGAACTGCAGACGATGAAAGGCTCTCGGTTCACCCTCCCTATATAATATTTTTTTTTTGCACCAGACGCCTCTTTGAGAGTTGGGATGGTTATTTCATTATTTTAGTAATACGGCCCAGTCGCATCAGAACGTCGGAGCACAAATCCCCCGCGGGCACGGCGCACTGACAGCTGCAATCCAATTGTTTTAAGCGGCTGGGTGGAGCACTGAGAGGAAAGAAGTGAGGGGAACCACCACCATCCCCTCCCCACTCACACACAATATAAATATATCCAGGCCGTGACATGCTGCGAGCGTGGTGTAACGGTGAGCACGCCGGCCTTGCAATCGAGAGGTCGCCCGATTCCATCTCCTGGCGCGGCAGTTCAAAACGACGGTGAAAGTTCGTTCACCAATCCCCCAACTCGCACCCACCGAATCTGTTCACTCAGCGGTTGACGCCTGTGAAAAAAGCGCTTCACAGCTCATCGGATTCTTCCAGTACAAATAGGATATTCTGATACGTGGGTGCACCAAAGTTCGTGTACCGGCTGGTCGCGTGTGACAGGATTATAGTGGGGCTACTCCCAACGCTTAGGAGACGTCCGGCCGGCGTGGAAGAGTAGGCCAAAACACCCCCTAGAGACGCTCTCTTAGACGTCGCCTCCATTTAATAGAGGCCCTTCCACTGGCAGTGTTGTGAGCAAGCAATTGCAGGGCCGCACCTTCACCAGTATTATCGCTCCCACTGACTGAACGCACGCTTGCTCTAACCACGTAGAAATGTTCCGATGATCAAAGCGAGCATGCATCTGCTGCCGATTCCATTTCCACCCCTGCTCCCTCCCTACGCCCCCCCCTCAATCTCTCATCTGTGGGAAAGATCTGACTAATGTTATCTTTAAGATGCATGTATAATATTTACAGCAGCGCCGGCTTCAACATCATAATTTCCACATTGGCGATGACTCAAATTTTGAGACTGCGAGGTGCCTTTCACGGGTGGTGGTGGGAAAAAAAACCTCCCATTCTAATCCCAGGTCTGCCGAAGCTGTATTTGAAATGCACACCACTTCAGTAGAGCAGAGCCTACATTACTGTCACACAGTGTGACATTAGAGGCAATCAGCGTGTTGAAGGCCCATCCTCCCGCTGAAAGTATAATATCCTACCTGGCAGACAAAAAAATTGAGTGCAACTTTATACGCATATATATACGTGTACGACTGCACCGCTATATGGGTCAATGGGAAACGAGAAAAATAAAACAATAGCTTCTGGGCGAGGAAGCAAAACATCACAATTTGTCCCTTCCTCGTTTGTCCGCGTGAAGGAAATTGTATTTTCGGATGATTGTGTTTATTTTATTGACGTTTAGAAAGAAAAAAGAAATCACTGAATGTGCACAAAAAATGTGAATCTCGCACACGCCACGGACAAAGAAACCACCACCTTCATTAACAAATGCTGCCCTTGCAGGCTGAAATAAAAAAAAAACGTGTCCAGCTCACGCATCATGCACGGTCCTTCATTACATCCACGGGTATTATAAGCTGTATACACTGCGCATGGGTGTGTGTACATATGGTGTACCCGTATGTACGCATGTGTGCGCGCGTGCGTTTGTCTATGTCTCCGTCCGTGTCGGTGTGCCGTTATGTTTTTATGTGTGCACGTGTAGGTACGTGCAGTCACCCTCCAACAACAACAACAACAACGGGGGGGGGGCAGAGGAGTAACGCACACAACAACGAGCGGAGCACCGGGCGGCTATATTGCAGCGAGCTGACGCAGTGGGGTGCACAGGTGGTGCATCTGCCAGTCATCTCAGTCAGTCAAACCATGGCACCTGAGTCTGTCCCATGACTTACTGCTAGTCAGCCATCAACACTGCACGTAGCCTCAGAGTGCACCTAGCCTGGCACGGGCTCGGCGGTGAGGTCACTGCCACTTAGTAGCAAACCGCAGCTGTTGTTATTGTTGTCTTTAAATGCCCGTAAAAGCGTTACCTTTTAACACAGGGTAAACAGTGTGCAGGTTCCCTCCAATAAATGTGTCAACAATGCAGGGAACACCTGAGTAATTGGGTCGCATTGATCCCTGGTTTTTTTTCCCTTTTGAAAAAGAAAAGTGCTGCAAATGAAAAATGGCATATTGTTTAAATTACAAGAAGGCATTTAGCGGAACATCAATGTGACTTTATACAAGTGCCGGGCAGTACATATGAAACGCATCCTGTTTTCACGGAGCATTTAATCGCCTAATTACCGAGTCTTATGTTTTTCTCTGTCTCAAGCCGCATTTCAAGTGATCAATCACACCCACAGGTGGTGGATCTGTCCAGTCATCTCAGTCGGTCAACTCATCACACCTGGGTCTGTCCCGTGGTCTCCTGCAAGCGAGCCTTTCACACTTACACGTAGCCTCAAATTGCACCTAGTCGAGCACAAGTGACGTGATGATGTCACCCTCCCCCCTCCCGAGTAGACAGTGGCGGCTGTTGTTGTACGACTGTTGTTGTTGACTGCTGCGTGTGTATTTCCATGCGTTTGTCTTTGTGTGTTATCTTTGTTTTTGTCTGTGTGCATACCTATGTGAATGCATGTTCGGATATGTGAGTGTGCGCGTTTGAGTATGTGTCTATGTCTGCGTGCGTGCGGGCATGTGTATGTGCGTGCGCACTCGTCCGTGTGTGCGTATATGTCTATGCATATCCGCATGTGTGTGCATGTCTATGCGTGTGTGCCGTGCTGACCTTCATAGGTACTCGCTGACAGCACATGCACCAACAGTCTTTAAAGGCTATACAGGAGATCTGTGTCTTTGTCTGTGTTTGTGTATGTCCACGTGCGTACCTTCATTTGCCTGCACTTGCGTGTCTATATGTGCGTGCTAATATGTGTAGGTGTGTGTGTGTGTGCACGTATCGGTGCGTACGTGCGTGCATTTATGTGGCGATTCAGGGGCTGCTGGGGCAAGCGCCCCACGGACAACTCACTCACGTACCTTCCACGTCGCAGCGTTGCGGCGGAAATACATGAACATCCGCGTGAACCAGTTGTAGATCTCGTTAAGCGTCAGCTGCCTGTCGGGAGACTCCAGAATGGCCTTCGCACAAACGGCAAATGAGGCAGACGCGTTTGGTCAGGGGCGCTATAGACGTCGCCGAACGCACCCGGGCAAAAAAAAAAAACACAGCCCGGCGATTATTCGCGAACCGTTTCAGTGCCGTGCCCACGGGGGGCCCTCACCTGCCGTATTAAGGCGGCGTAAGTGAACGGCGGCCTCACTTCGGCGTTCATGTAGAACTCGTAATTCTGAGCGAGGTCTGCCAGAGAGTGAGAGAAGGAGTGGGGGAGGGCGGCAGACGAGGCAAAGTGTAATGCAATCACTGTAAGTGTCCGACGCGAGATTGTTCTTTAGCCGCGTTTCCATTAACGACGCACGCGGTGCCGCGTTCGGTGGCGATGTAGCGTACGTGTCAAATGCAGCACACGCACAGAGAGACACGCGGGTGTCTGTCTGTGTGTGTCTTTGGAGCAACTGGGGAGACAAAGGCGGTCGGGCGTGGTGCTGGCCACCCACCCCCTCGTGTGCCGTGCCGGCCTTCATAGGTGCTACTCGCTAACAGCACTTGCCCCAAAAGTCTGTTAAGGCTACACGGGTGATCTTTGTCTTTGTGTGAAGGAGAGCACTCTTTCTCTGCTGCTGCTCCCATTGGTTAAGATTGCCACGCCCCGGCCATCCGTGCTACCAACTTCCTGCCCCTGTTCAAGTCCAAAAAGCTCAATATCTACCTCTTCTCCTCTGCCTATCACTGACTTTCTCCCATTTTATTGTTTCATTTTTATTATTTTATTAGTTCCCTTCTCCGTGACTTTACCGAAAGAACCAAGAATATGAATCCCTGCATTTACGAAAGCTTTAAATCGAAATTTCTCCCATTATTTATCAAATTATTCCGATTGCATCTCACTTAAAAACCGTGCAAACACCCCACACTCTTGTAATTGTGCTGCCCTTGTCCCTGCCCTTTGAGTAGTGTCTTAAGATACAGTCACAATTAGAAGCTATATAATAGCCAAGTATCATTATACTGTAAGGGTGGTCAAAATATTTAAATAATAAGGTATTGCTAAATAGTGTCACATATAAAAAATCATCCATTAAGTATCTATATCTAGGCCTTGGTATAAGATTATCTTGACATGCTGATCATCAATGTACGTATGTATGTTGAACTTCTTTTCGCACTGCACGTAGTCAACCTTACTAATCGGTTGGACAAGACACTAAACACAAAAGGAAGTTCTGAAGGAATGAGTTTTAAATTTAGAAATGAGTTTCCAATCTACGTTAAGAATGCATCCATGCATCTATACTCTTAATCGTGTTACTATTTTGTTGTTTTAACATATGTTTACCTGCTGCTCACGTATATGTAAGCATCACATAGGCACCTCCGATTAGCATGGTTGGCTACGTATGGTGTGAAATAAGTTCAACATACAAACATATATACCATAATTTATACTTTAGACAAGGGGAAGCAGTGGCACAGTGGTTAGCACACTACGCTATGGATCTGGCCTACTCGAGTATGATTCACAACCATGACTAAAATCAGTGGCGAGGGATGCTATGAACAAGTCCCGGGCCTGTCTTTCACCAATCAACACCGACCAGTGTGGTGAAGTATGGCAACAACAAGAAAGATGACACTATGTGGGGAGGCCTTCACCCAGAAGTCGATTGACAAATGGATGAAACATCTTCTCGTTATTATTATTGTATTTAGAATAACACGTTTGTCACTCATAAACACAAACACAACGTGGGTATGTATATATATATATATCATCTAAATGTGAGACTGCGTGTTGACATTGATGTATAAAGGAAGATGAATCCCCCTAGAGTGGAGCAGCATCTGGTCACAGAAACCACCAAATGAGAATCCGACGATTTTCCGCGTTTTCCAACTTTGGGCGATGATTCCCACACATGAGAGCCTCCTCTTGAAAACAACATCTCCGGGCACTTCACTAATAATATAATCTGTCAAGCTCACTTAGCGCAACGGGGGTTTACTAGCTGGATGATGACGGTGCTGAATCTCATAGTGGTGTGGCCAAGGCGAGATTTGAATCCGTGTCAGTCTGCACGGATTCGTAAACCACTCCAGTCATCTGGCCCACTCGCATGTTCATGTTTTATTTCAGGAAAATGGCCCGGGATGTAGCTAAGCTGATAAGAGAAACAGATTCATAAACGTGGGAGATCACAATTTTAAATCCCGGCCAATTCTATAAACTAAACAATTTTATGTTACCAGGTAAGGCCCACTGAGCGATACAGCTCTTTTTCAGAAGTGACCTGGCCACAACTGATATCTCAACGAACGTGGCTTATCATCTGGAAATATATATAGCAGCCAAATACTCTAAACGCATGTTTCTAAATGTGGAGGGATAAACCGGAGGACCTGGAGAAAAATCCACGCGACCATGGGGAGAACATGCAAACTCCAAATATACAGCAGGCGTCAGGATTGAGATTTAACCCACAATCTCCTGCACACCAGGTGAGGTAGTTAATAGCTCGTCACCGCGACACCCTAACTCTAACTCGACCCCTAATCCCGCCAGGCATTATAAATTAGGAACCACCTAGAAAGGCTGCACCAATTTCCTGGAAAGTCAAATGTGGTCTCCCTGTGCAGAAAAAAACCAATGGGCTCCAGATGAAAGTGGAATTTTCTCCACTAGCTCACGAGCGCCCACAGAGAACACCTTCAATGATACCTTGCACCTTACAGGAGCCAAAATGCACTGCATTAGGTGGCCTTTGCAGGGAAGATTTTAAACCGGTAATCTTTGACTTAAGACACGACACCCGACAGCACAACCGGAAATTAAAATTGTGGAAAGAGACAACAAAAACGCAACTAAAAACTGGTAATCGAGATGCAATCATTGGTTTCCTCTGCACAGCAATTTGAAAACTTTGCAGAAGAAGTTCTCTCAACCGCATCGTTGGGGGTCACATCAAGGGTCCAACGCTCACACGAGCGACCTCTACAACTCACGACGGGCAGCAGCATCAGCAGCAGCAGCACAGCAGCTGCGGCGGTGGCGGCGACGACGACTACGACGTACCGGCGCTGACCGGGATGCTGTACTTGTCGGAGTGGCGTCGCCGGATGGGGCCCATGCCGGCGTGCATGCTCGAGTGGTGGTGGTGGTGGTGTTGGTGGTGGTGGTGCGGCGGCGGCGGCGGAGGCAGCGGCCCCGGCGTGCGGTTAAGCATCGGCGGTAGCGGCGGCGGTAGCGGCGGCGGAGGGCCCGGGTTGGGGTGGGTGGCCACGCCGTGCATGACGCCCTGGGGCAGCGCGGCCAGCGGCGGCAGCGACGGCAGCGGCGGGAGCCCGCTGGGGGTGAGGGCGGTGGGCGCCGGCGTGGGCGTCGTCGGGGTGAGGGGCACGCTGTGGGAGCTCGTGGAGCCCGAGCAGCCCGACGACACTTCACAGGGGTTGGCGCAGCTCGCCACGCTCTTGGACAAAGTGATGGCCGACACGAGGTTCAGCTGCACGGGGCGGGCACAGAGGCAAGTGAGAGTGAGTGAGTGAGTGTGTGAGTGAGTGAGTGGTTGTGTGAATGAAGGAGCGTGTGATTGTATTAGTGAGTGAGCGGGCAAGTGGGTGGATTAGTCAGGTAGTCAGCGGGCAGGAGGGCGTGTGGGCGGTTTGGGCGGGCAGGCGGGCGGGCGGGCAGGAGGGCGTGTGAGCGAGTCACGGGGCCAGGGAGCATGAGAGGTTGAGTGCAGGTGGCTGCACGCGTAGCTGCAGTGAGAAGTGTTATTATTAAGGGAATAGCTGGTCGGGTGCGTGGTTGGGTGGGTGGATCGGCCACTTGATCGGAGAAGGGGTGAGCAAGTGCGCGAGCGCATGAGTGAGCCGGTGGGCGTGCGGGGTGAGTGGATGTGTGAGAGAGCGAGCGGGCGAGTGGGGACCACATTGAGAGAGGAAAAGAAAAACCTCCAGCGAGACAATTCATTGGAGAACACGAGAACACAAAGAAATAATAAAACTAAAGAGGCAGTGAATTTGTAGGGGGTCATATTAAAAACATTAATACTAAACAGATACAGAACAAGTAATTTAAAAGTGAAAATGGTGGTGGAAATACAATAAAACTGAAAAATAACAAAGCAGCGCATTAATAAACCGCATTGCATGTAAGCAAGACGAAACTGATAACACTTCGGATAAAAAAAAGGTATTATTAATGGGAACATTTTCTAAATCATTAATTTTTGATGGCACGGCAGAATGCGGCAGTGAACTGGCAATATTTACAGCTTCGCGTCGTTAGCAGACGGGATTTTTGCTTGTTTGGGATTTGCAGGATGCACGGTTAACTGCGGCTGCGGCCTTCAATTTCCATCTGCGAGCCTCCAATCAGCCGGAAAACAACACATCGACCCCGCCACCTCGGCCGATTAGTGCTGTCGGGTTTGGAGGGGGTGGTATGGAGGAGAGGGGGGAGAGGCCCTCCCTCCATAAATACAGCCCCCGCTATCGGAAAACAGGCCTAAATTGGAAAATTAGCCGGAGGGAACGTGAGTTTCCAATTAGAATAGGCGAGCGATGTGAAGACAAAAAAAACGCAAGAGAGGGAGAGAGACGGGGGAAAGCGGGGGGGGGGGGGGGGGGAGGTTGGATGATGAGAAAAATTGCAAACGTCAAATTAATGGCAACGGGACAGGTTAAGAGAGCAGCAGAGATGTCATGTTCATGAGTGGGCGTGTTTGCAGACTGATTATTCCCAATTGGATAGCAAGGCGATAGAGAAGGGGCGGCGGTGGTGGTGGTGGTGGTGGTAGATGGGGCAGGGCAGGTGGGGGGGGCTAACAAAAGTAAAAGCTTTTGCGGAGTGGGCCATAAAAAAACACTGTCACTGTAAGCCGATGTCATCCCCCTTCCCTCTAGCAATGAACTTCATCACCGGCCGCATCAAACACAGGTTGTGCGCGCTCATCATGGGGCGGACGGAGGACACGCGGTAACTAAACACGTGCGTCGGCATCAATGCCGCCTAATGGGTGGCGGCGGCACGCCACTTGGGGCTTTATTTGCTCCGTGCCGGACTCGGTTGAGATGCTTTAAAATTCGAGGGTCGGGGGACGGGACGGGGACCCGGCGGCCATCCATCATTATTTCCGAGAGGGCCGCGTGGGCCGACGCGCCGGGATAACTCACGGGCTGCGGGGTCGGCTTTGGCTCCGAGGGCCTCATGTGGAGGTGCGACATCATGGCCTGCAGGCGGTCCCGCTCCTTCGACAGCTGAGCAACATCGCGGGGGGGAAAAAGCACTCGGCGTGGGCAAAAGGCGAAGGGTCACGCGGAAAAAAAAACGGATCGCGGCGTGCGCTCAAAAGAAAAGGAAAGAAGATACAAAAAAGCGAGACTCCAAAAATAAAACGGAGCAAACATCTCCCGTCGCACAAACACGCGCGTCGCTCTGCGTAACGATTTACCGACGTAATGGGGCACCCTCGGGAATTTTCCGCCTTACCCCTTTTTTTATTTTGGTAACAAGCTGTAAATGATATGCGGCAAAAAATATAAAACACGCAGGAAAATAATAAAGAACCGCGCGAACTCCTTTCCACCCCCCCCCCCCGATATCCCACCGGTTGAACGTAATGGTAATGTGATGTGCATGCCCGTCGGAGTGAGAGCGGGCTGCCCTAACAAGGGCGGCGGCGTGGCGGCGTTAAGTAGGCCCTCGGAGCGCGGCCCGAGCACCTCCCCACAGGAGGCTGTCACGGCAGCACGGGGGGGCGGGGGGGGGGGGGCCGCTCCTCACCAAGTGTGGTGGTGGGATGTGGCAACAGGAGTTCCCTCTCCGCGCCCCGCTCCCCTTCCCGGTGAACGGCCCTCGCGCGAGAAGCGTCATTACTCGCGCACCGGGGTCGGCTGGCCCGGCCAAATTCGGGCGGCGCGGCACCATTCGTCAAGCTCAGCGTTGTTATTTATTTCTTTGCTCCCTTCCTTACCGCCGCCACCACCGCCCCCACCGCCACCACCCGCGATCGCTTTCCGCCCGATTTTGCCTTTTATTTAGGCGGAACGATGCAAAACTTGTCAGGGGCGACCGGCGGTGGCGACGTGGATGGCGGACTGCCGCGGAGAGGGCCTGCTAAGGCTTGACCCGCTCTCTCTCTCTCTCTCTCCCTGCATCTCGTGGGACGATGCCACCGCGACTTCTGTTCTCGCACGCGTTGTCGAACCAGGATACTGTTGGCATAGGATGCACTTTTGTGACGAAAAGCCAACGGGGCTCCCACAACCCTCCAGGGACCCCCCCCCCCCCCCCTCGGTTTTCTTCAAACGCCAACCAAACGGATTATGTTAAGGACCAACAACGACCACCCGGTTGAGTTTGGTGATTTGCTTATTGTTCCAAATTTTTTGGGAAAACTTACTTTTTGGTTTTTGTTTCAAAGAGAAACCGGTGAAAGGCCTGTTACCGTAGGATAGATAAGCAACAGTTAATATGTCATTTGTATCGACTTCCCTGTAGACACCAATTATTTAATTGATATTATTATTGCTCCTCCCATTACCAATCAGTTGTAGAAAGTTGAGAGTTTAATATAATCTGACTACCTACTTGGTGGGGAAATGATCACTGATTCCAGGCCACAAATAAAATCAATACCAGTATGTGTGGTTAATGCAGACATGATTCCTTGCAAAAGGTTTCTGTTTGGTGTTTATTTCCAAAAAGGGTAAAACCTATTCTTATACTTTGATACTGGCAATAAAGGTCACATGTTTTAAAATCAGTACCACTCCATGCACATTTGACTTTTGACGCTGTGGGCAAAGTTTACCATGTGCCATCAGCGGCGTTAATTAGTGATGATACATATTTAAAATATATATATTAGTCAATGAGTGGACAAAAGTCATCAATTGTGAAAAGAGGACCATGACCACTACCCACCACAGACCAAAGTACGACTACGACGGGACTAAATGAACTAATTCTGACTCAAGACGCGCACCGAGATAATATAGTAACGTCATCGTGGGACTGCATTGCATTGAGGAAGACGAAACAACGGTCTTCGGTTCGTACGTGGATGTAAAAAGGATTGACCGACTTCACCGATTGACTGTCTTGATAATATTCTTAGGTTTTTTCGGTCTCGATAATATTGGTGGGGGAGGGCGAGCACGAGGGGGACATTGCAAGCCCCTCAGAACCAAAATTGAATAGCTAAGAGTCGACTGAGTGTTTGACTGCTTTCATCGACTCAAGATCAAGTCATCAAGGGCAACGCTGTTGATGTCACCACACCTCGCCAATGCTTTTTTCTATCCTCCGGCACCCGCCATATCTGGTGCCGGCTGCACGGCAGACACACAGTGGGGACTTCGGAGATCCATCCCTAAAAGTTGACTATCTGAGAAAATGACAGAAATGATCATCCGCAGGCCCGATGACTTGAATAAACATCCACGAATCGTCGTCGTCGTCGACACGCCTCGAAGGCGGCGACACCAATAAAACGGAGGGTGACGAAAATCGACGCCGATGGCCCAGAAGGCAGCACTTCCGTTTTTGTTGCACCAACCTGCAGCTCAAGCTGTTGCACCACCTGCATCTGCACCCGGCACTGTGCAGTGCTGCGATCATCCAGCCCGTGCTCCGCATTCATGTGTCTGTGAACAGGCAGCGGAAGAAACAAATGATCATTGCCGACGCTGTGGGGAGCGCTAATGGGAGCGCGGGGGATATACACAAAAAAAAGACAACAAATTCTCATCCAACTTGTGTTAATTTTACATCTGGAAAGAGCGAGGCTGAGAGAGCGGGCGAGAGGGAGAGAGAGGATCTAAGAGAGCGAGCGCACGAGAGAGAGAATACTAATGTTTTAATTTTCAAGCTGTGTTCAGTGGATCAGTGTTTTGAAAGGAGTTTTGACCATTTTAATTAAAGCTGTGAAAATCTTTGATGAGATGTTACATGTGCTTTGTGTACTCTTAACTCTTTCTCTGATGCCTTTTTTGTATCATTTTTGCACTTGCTCAAATTTTAATCACCACCGCTAACCCATCGCTGCTTTATTATTATTATCGTTATTATTATTATTAAAACGCGTATATTCTGAATTCTACTCATTACTGTTATCTGCACCGAGGTGGAACGCAACAATGTGCCAAGCTCACAACCTCAAATAGGGGTTCGTTTTCAGACGCGCAGAGAACCAGAACGTCTGATAACATGTATATCCTTGTTCGACGCGGCGAATATGTTGTTTGCTCGAAAGGAGCTCATCCGAGACTGCTGGAAGATATACCCGGCGCAAAAAATTGCCTCTTGCACCGCTCGAATCAGCCACCACCACCACCACCCTGGATTCAACAAGTTCGAACAAGCGTTGAATTGAGGCTCATTTGCACATTTACCCACAACTCCCCCCCCCACCGACCCCTTCCCTCAAAGACGCCGCTATAAAAGGATTACAAGGTGCAAGTGCTACCTCTCCACTGCTAAGGCTTTCAAATAGCCTTTTGCCACAGAGTCCGCCGTTAGCTGAAACCAAATTAGAATGATCTCCCACCAGAAGAGAGGAAAAAATATAATAGAGGCAGCGCGGTAAAGGACCGTGCGAGATCGCCCGAGAGAGAGAGGGTTTTTTTTTTCAGCCCTCGCAGGTGCGTATTTGTCCGATAATGAAATAATTCGTAAGGTGGGCTTTGCTTAATGTCAGCTCTACGCCAAGATCCATGCCTCCCGCCTCACAAACAGCTTCGCGCAAACAGCGCTTTCCGATCGATAGCAACACCTTGTTCCTTGCCACAATTTTCCACTTGTCGATGCCTTTTTTAATTCATTAAAACCTGCTCCAAATAAACACACTGCGAAACGACGCTGTTAGGGACCAAAAAAAATGAAATCCATAAAAACATTTTGGCACAAAATGCTCCATAACGCATTCCGCATTTATAGTGTATACGCCAACATCAGAAAATCAGCGTTTTTTTTTAAGTGACCTTGCATCAAATATTCTCGAGAAAAAAACATGTTCTCATTTCTTTCTTTCATCTCAGCCTAATTTTTGTGACAAAATGGCTGAGGCCACTACAAAGAGAAATTCTCACCCGGCCCCCCTCCCCCACCGCCCCCCCCCCATGTTTTCAACCATTTGCTACCTGCAGCAAGTTCAGACAGCTGCTCGCCATCCGTGAATTATGATCGCAATTACACGCGATTATTTCATACTGGGACGGTGATAACTCTTCCCCGTTTTATATTTCAACGGGCCTCGCGTGCGCGCCTCAGCGCGCGAGCGGTGGCTTGTGGGGCGGGAGCAGTGTGTATATCTTCTGATTTATGCTTGCGCGAGGGGTGATAAAATGGCGCAAAAGCCTACCCTTTTGCCGAACACTGGCTGATTTTTATCTCCCTTCACCCGAATTACTTCTCGATAATGCAAATGCGACCGCGCTCCTCATTAATCATTTAATCAGACTCGCGGTGGAACGAGGTTTCAAATATCCCTTTCATTTCAGGCACGGCTTCATTACGAGCCTGCTAATGCATTTAATATATTAAAAAGTCGTAAATTACGAGCGAGGGGGGGGGGGGTGTCCGGGCTGACCAGGAAGGGCTTTGTCAAGACGCCGCGCGGAAATACTATTACCCGCATTGTTTCCCTCGGAAGGCCGGGCGGCGAGCGAAAACATTCGCGGGTGTATTCACTGACTCCCCCCCCCCCAGCTATCGGTGCCCGAACACTTTTCCCGCCGTCACACCTCGACAATAATGCGCCTATTTACTGCGGCGGCTTCTTGTCGCCGGGCTTGCTGTCGGGGCCCCCTTCTGAGGCAGCAGCAACAGCAAAAACGGTCGAGAAAAATTAAAAGCAGCAAAGTTTAATTTATGGGCCAAAATAACAGTGAAATTGAAATGCTGCTTATTCATTTTGATTCAGCCTCCACACACACACACACACCATGACTACTACCCCATTAAAAGTGATGGCTTTAAACGTGTTGACAAACAAATTGATGTCCTGCCACAGGCATGATAATAGGAGTTTAATCAAAATCTAATTATGCTCACTGTCGTTTCACCTTTATGAGCTTATGCTCGTGATTTCATTACGCGGTACAATCTACCTGTGCAAAACAAAGCCCCCCAATCACCCCCCCCCCCCCCCCAATGAATGAGCAAGTTAATTGATAGTGTGTTCCGCACGCGCCGCGCGGGGGCCCCGAGGAGAGTAGTGACGGCTGAGCGATCTGGTGAGCGCGTGCGCGCGATGGTGGCAACGCTTGTGTTCTTCACTCACTCACTCACTCGCGCACACAGGCAGGCAGGCCTCGCGCAACACACATGCAACGCAGGACCTTCCCGCGGAATCCACGCTTCTTTGGCTCTACATAAATCATGCAAAATGCCAGCAGCGGACAAACATCGGGCCCGCGAGACATCACACTTTATAAGCCGGCCTGTTTTATGAGCGCCGGTTTATTGCGACGGCGCAACACATCACAACCGTCAGGCGTTTTGTTAGCCGCCTTCCGCGGACGGCTAAGTGACAATCGCACCGGGCGAGGGCGGTTTTCCCTCCTCGCGACTCAATTCTTTATGTTCGGTTTATCAGTAAGCAGTGTCACGGATATTGATCCTAAGCCACTTTGTCATGCCCTAAACATGGTCTTTGTCTCACAGCTTGCATCTATCCTGCAGAAATCAATCTGCTACGGACAAGTCGGTTTGCCGTCGCTCCTTTAAGAGATCAGAGGACGCAAAACGCTCTGGACCGCAGCGCGGGTCATTACTTATTAGTGCTTGTTTCCAAACGGCTCATAAAGAGGCACGCGTTTATTGGTATCATTCCCAACAGCTGCCACGTGATCGTAGAATATTTGAATGTTCCGTAATGTGGCCGGGCCCTTGATCGCTGTTACAAAGGTTAGCATTGTCTCGGGCTTAAATAGATCATCCACAAATCAGGTATCAACCACGAGAGTTTTTTTTGGGGTTAGATCACGTAAACATAAATGTTCGTTAAACCCGCCACCACCCGACACAGCCGATTAGTAAGGTTTGTTACGTAAACAAAACGTGGCAATTCGTGACGAGCTCAGCACACCGGTGTGTTGGAGAGTAAACCTAATTGTAAATATTGTGGGTGTGCTGAACTAGTCACCTTTTGTTTACGTGACAACCCTCACTAATTGGCTGTGTGTCGGGTGGTTGGCGGGTTTAACGACACATTCATATTTACGCGATCTAACCCAAAAAAAACCTCTATTATGGGTAATATTGGTCGCGGAAGCCTATGTATTAAACAGGCATCAACCAGCGAGCTGACACTTGGTAACCCCACACAAAGCGGAAAAATGATACATTTACTTCCCCTGTGCTCGCATCTTCACATTGCACTGCTCTCAACTCCCAATCCCCACCACTTTGCAGCCTCAAAAAATGTACCGCAGAGCCCTGTGCTATTTCATACATATATATGTATATTGGTCATTCCGTTCTGTAGATCTCATTCTACTTATGAAGTCACATTTTTTTTTTGGCCACACTTTAACAAAAAGGTGTCAAATATGTTATCCTTAATCTTTAAAGCAGTTCCTGAAGCATCCGTTAAAGGCACGAAACTCAAACCACCGCTGTTCAAATGACAGTGTGCAGAGCCAGCGCTGTGCCAAATTGTCAGCAGTGTTATGCCTCCAATTGTTGGGACTTGTGTTGATTTTTATTGGTGGGCACAAGAAGAACATGGAACTGTGATCTGGGGAAGGGGAGGCTCGCGGTTGCTGCTGCAGGCTGCACGAATGGTAAGAAAAGAGAAAACCTACTTCACAAAAAACAACATCGCAACACACTGCAAGTGACGCCACCACACCAGGGCACTGGCAGTGTACTCAACGAGGAAGTAATTAAAAATCCATTTTGACTGATGGAAAATAAATATATAATCCACACCAGGCCTCTCAATAGTGCCCGAAATCTTCGCCGCAAATTGAAGGGCTCTGAAAACCACGTGGGAAATACACAATCGATCGGTTAACAGGACCGGGCCCCCAACAGAAACGCAGTTTGAAACCGTAACCCGTTGTGTCGTTCCACACACGGTTACGAGGTCGACCATCTGCGTGGATCGTGAAAACATTTTACGAATATCTCCAAAGGGGCTGTGGGCGCGGGGGGGTTGGGGTTAAGTGGAGTGACTGCTCGATCGCAATATCGCAATTGAATCGCAAACCACAGGACGCACGCATCATGGGTACTCGAGTGGTCGCGAAATTAGGGCCGCAAAACCATCCTCGATTTGTTTTCATTGAGATAATCGTGGGATTTGTAATTGTTACGTTCAATTTGGTACAAGATAAGCTAAAATTGCTGTTTTGGTCATGGACGGAGGTTATCATCGAATTTGCTCGTGTTGACAATGTAAATAAATACACTGGCAGCACTTACAAGCTTTGCCACCAGTTGTTCATGTCTGTTCTTGGTGGTAACCAGTTTCTTCTCTTGTCCAAGAATTGTTAAATAAACTTGAAATTATTTGCACCTCCATTCATCCCAGCAATTTCATGAATTATCAAGATTTGGGAACATTCATTCCCGAGAAACTATCCGTTTTTTTTCGTCTTATCTCTTTGTTAAGTATCGTTTTCATTGCATTCCGTTTTTCCATTTTATTTCGTACAGTTTTCTTTCTCCACGAGCCTAAAGGTACCATGAGCAATAAGATTCCCGGACAATTTCCATGAACTGCAATCCATTCTCTGTCTCAAATAAAGACCCCCCGTGCAGCCTTAACAGACTGTTGGGGCAAGTGCTGTTAGCGAGCACCTATTAAGGCCAACCGCTACACTAGCAAACACACACACAATTTGACGCATGTACATGAGCGTAGCAACCAATTTTTTATGAATCGGCGCGTGGGCTTGCCCGCGACAAACCTAACATGAACGACCGCCGTGCACTCAAAACCGATTGGCACGGTTGACTGTGCGGTGCGCGAAAGAAGTTCAACATACATACGCACGCACGTACATACGAAGCGGGACTCACTTGAGGAACTGGCCGTAGTCTTCACAGAGAGCCTCGCAGCCCGGCCACTTGCACACGCCGTGACCGAACAGCGGGTGGGTGCCATTGACCACCTCTTCCTGCGAGCAGCTGGAGGACACAAAACACAGAGGGGTGAGGTCAGGGGGGTTAGGGTGTGCGTTGAGAGTTTTACATGTGTAGGTTAGAAACCACGCATCCACGCGACGCGGATGATAACGTATCGCTGGCGACATGGTGACCCCCCCTCCGCACCCCTCCCCGCCCCCCTAGGTCTCACCGCCGTGGAGGAGCGACCCGATCCACGCCTCGGACTACGTTGTTTAACGTTTCAAATTATTCCACTCGCCGACTTCGAAATGACCTCGGTGGCACCACGAGTTACGCGGCGCCGAGTCATTACGATCGCCCGCGAGGCATCGCTTCACACGAACTTTCAGTGTTTTACAGTCGCACGCGTGTTCGCCTGCGCATTCTCTAACACGTGTATTTAACACATCGCCATCGACATCATCATCATCATCATCAACCGTGATCTATCCACCGCTCGATGAAAGCCACCCCACGTCGTTTTGCTGTTTCTTGGTTTCTTAGTTTCATGAGTTATTGTTACGTCGAGTGCCTACTTTGTTTTCGATGAAAGGTACTCTATAAATAAAACATTATTATTAATACTCTTTGGTTCTTTCGGTAAAGTCATGTAGGTAGAAAAATAATAGATCACGACGTTTCGATCGCAACACAAGCAATCGTCATCAGGTGGGACAACCACAGCAACAAAAAACTGAAGTAGGGGAGAGATTAATTAATTAATTAATATTATCCCTCACGGTTTTGCAACGTCACATCGGATCAGCTCCTGCACATGCGCTGATGTCCGCGGGGCATGTCCACCCCTTCGGCTGCCATTCAATCGCCAGTCTCAATCATCGGCCATCGTCCTGTCGAGCGACATGCGCGAGCCAAGCCCCACTAGTACTTTTCCGAGCAATCAATATGCGCGTGCTTGGAATCTCGCTGATTAATAATAGAGAGCATTTGAGGGCTGGAATATACGAGGTGGTAGAGTGGAGGAGGGAATTCAAGCCGGATTGTAAGACCCATTTTTTGAACAGATGAGTTTTTAATTGAGATTTGAAGGTGGAGATTGACTCGGAGGATCTGATCTCAGTGGGCAGTGTGTTTCATTGACATAAAGAGGAACACAGATCAGATAATAAACACAATTTAGAGGCATCATGTTGACCGGTAAGAAAAGCACTTATTACACGTAAACATGCATGTTTCTCTCTTCCATACTACCAGTGCAATCCATATGCAGATAAAGATTCCCATTCCGTGTTGTGAAATGTTGGGTCAAGCTGTGTGCGAGTACGGCGTACGAGGCAAGCGGGTGGGCCACCATGAGGCCCACATATCCACGTCATGCTAACACATCACACTACGTTTCCCTTATCTTCCGCTGAGTCAACCACTCGAGGTTCGTGTCAGAGTTCAGATACCGATAGCCACCATTATGCATTGCCAGAAATTGAACTCTGGTCACCAGATATATATAGTGCAGTGCACTAACAACTACGCCACCAGTCTCCCCCCCCCCCCCACTTACACCTCCAAAGACAAAGTTCCCCCGTATAGCCTACACAGGTTGTTGGGACAAGTGTTGTTAGAGAGCACCTATTAAGAATGTCACGGCCCACCAGAGGGTTGTGCGGCCAGAAACCACGTCGGGCTGCCTTCAATCTCCTCAGTTCTGATGTTTCGAGCGCCGAGTACCAGGTACTCATTTAAGGCCGAGTCAAACTAATTGGAGGCCCAGCATCAGGTCAGACATTCACCGCTGATGCTAGCCACGGCATGGAATCGAACTCAGGTCGACGGGTCCATTGCGCAGTGCATTAACCAATTCACCACGGCTCCATCCGCCGTCGAGATGCATATGTGCACGCTTGACACACTACTCAATGGAATTCTTCCTATTATCCACATGTAATCTATCAGCAATAATTTCCACATATTTATAAACATGCGTTGCTTGTCTTAATAGGGTGCATTATTTTTCCTATTCGTGTCATGTGAACATTGTTGCAATCTATATGCAAATACACATTGTTTAATACCCATCCTAATGAGATGCTATAGTATCGCGTGTTTTCCTATTTTCGCTGGCTTTTATTTACGCCATAATCAGCAATTAATACAAGTTAGTGATGCATTTATTGTACTACATAAACCAATTATTATTTTCATAATCACGTACTCGCAAAACAATCTATTGCGGCTGAATTCATGCGGTGATCGTAATCGAATTCCGCTGTGTTATTTAGGAACGAGCCGAATGAAACAGCGGTTTGGAATTTGCACGAAGAGTTTAGAATTCTGCAGAAGCACGGCCTTGCCAAGTGATGACATGCGGCCTGATTATGAATTGCAAAAAAAAAACACATTTAACTGGAATGTGCTCTCAACAGGCATATCCTGCGTGGAATTTGAGATAATCGTATAAAGTTATGTGATTAGCACACGACAATGAGGCTTCTAAATAAGCCTAACATCAGGTGTGTCCCTGATTTAAAAGCAGTCTGTGTCATTCTCAAAATTAATAGACCGCCTTCTCGTGTAATCTATCGTGCGTTGGCGTCACTGCTGGATGAAGCCCTGCTTCGTGCCGAAATCATTACCTCCGGTTCCCGCGCCGTTGTGATCCATCCCTGCGCCTAACGTATTTGTAGACTGTATATATTTTTTTAAGCAGAATCTCCAAGAGAAATTGGCGAAATAAACAGCTGGTGGCACGTTCCAAATTAGCATTTTCCTTGATAAGCCTTCAAGCCCACGGCCCCGGAAACGGACACGGAGCAACGCGTGGCCGCTGTCTTCAAGCTCGCGTTTACTGGAAAGAGTGAGAACCCTCCATTTAATTTCCCCGTGAACCGAGTGGCTGAATATGAAAGGGTCGTTTACACAAAAGAGCAATATCGCCGCCCGGCCCTCTGTAAAGGGGCCCAGCGTTTTTAATGCGTGCCATTTCCCTTGCCCCGTCACCCCTCAATGGAAGCCACTGTCAACCGACGTTCAAATGTGATGGCAGCATTTTTTGGGTTTAGCTTCAAACAGCCAAAGAAAGGACGCTGTCCCAGGCTTATAAAGGCGCATGCCACAAATGCGGGCGGAGGAGAGCGGGGGGGAGGGAGCCGGGGGGGGGGGGAAGGCGGAGAGTACCCGTGGACGTGGAGGAATCCTTATTCCGCTTGTTATCTCCGAGCCGATGGTGCACAGGCAAACAAATGCGCTAAATGTTCCTCCTGATGACTAAAGTCATTTTCTGTCATTTGCTGTCAAAACTGAAAAACATTATCTTTTCTCTGGGAGCTCATCTCTATTTGAAATTAGACAGGCTGCCTGCCACCTTTCCCCGGCGGTGTCTGCTTCCGCGCAGATGCACAATATCATTTTTTTATGCATTATTATTATCGTTTAAATTCTTGCAATTTTTTCATCCTTTATTAAAATTTAAAGAAATACACTCGCAACCTCGCAACATCATGGCAATTTATACCTGTGCCATTATTTAATTATCACGACATGTAAGTGTTATTATATTAAAGATTAGTAATGCTGCTTATTTTTTTTACTAAAATAGTTCCATGTTGATAGCTTAGCAGTTAGCAGCCTCACTATTCGGTCAATTTGCTGGCAATGACTCGTTTGAATCCCATCGCTGCCCAACATTTTCTGATAGGTATTTAAACAAATATGGCTTATGCAGCAGGCGGCACTGCCATTGGTGGGGGAGTTACGTGACCCTACTTCCATAATTGTTATGGTGGTGGTATTGATAAGCTAAATGCATTGTTTTAGCAGTTGTATGGTTGTGTTGTCTTAATCCTGCAGTGTGTATTGAAATATGCGAGTTGCATGAATTTGGCAGTTGCATTTATATGGTCTTCGCACTGTCGCGGTAATAATATATTTTTCAGTAGTGACATTAACATCGTCACGTAACATCGAGGGCATCTCGACATAGCAGTGTCCCCGCACGCCCGAGCGTCATGATGGCAAGATGTTAACTACCTCGTCTGCTATACAGGAAGTCCTGGGTTCGATCCCAACCCTGACGCCTGTATATTTGGAGTGTGCATGTTCTCTCTCTCTTTCTCTCTTCCCGTGGCCGCGGGGATTTTTCTCCGGGTCCGCCGTTATTTTCCCCTCCACATTTAGAATCAACATCACGCGCTTCAGAGTATTTGTCTGCAATAAATGTCCACGCGATGATAAGCCACTCCGTTGAGCAATCGTTTGTGATAGCCCAGGTCGCTTCCGAAAAACAGCTACGTAGCTCGGCGGGGCCTCACCTGGTCCCAAGAAAAGAATATCTGAGCACGGTTTAGTCACCTATCCCGGCGCGGCGTGTGGCGCTGCCCGTTGGCGAGCGGCGGCGGCTGCCCCAGCGGTGGCGACGGCTTGGCCGACGAGGACGACGACGACAACGGCGACGAGAGGTCGAGCCCGCCGCCGTTCTTGGTGGACGTCACCACGGCCAGCGAGTCGTCCGAGCACCCGGCCCGGCCGCCAGGAGCGCAGGCGCCCCCGCTGGTGCTGGCGCCGACCCCGCCGGGCCCGGGCGCCCCTCCGGTGCCGCCGGAGCAGCTCACGTCCTTCCACAGCTGCTGGCGCTCCGTCGAGCTCAAGCCTGTTCGTGCCACGTCAAGGGGACAGCATTGTTGATCCATTTGTTTATTTATTCAGGCACGAGTGCGAGTGGGGGGGGTGTAACCTCCATTGTGATGCGTGTTGCAGACGGGGTCTCTAGGAAACTGGAGTGTGCCCGTCTGCAGAAGTTCTTCATCTTCATCAGCCATTGCCTATCAACTGCTGAATGAATGCCTCCCCGTGCCATCGCCATTCCTCTCGGAGTGCTGCCGGCATCCGTCTTTACTCCTTGCAAAACGAACAGATCTCACCGCTCCATCTCCACGAAATTCGTGCTCTTGAACGAGCTCACCCCTTTGTCTGCCATTCCATCACCAGTCTTGCCCATCGGCCATCAACCCATTCCAGCGAAATGACCAAGCAACTCCGTAAAAAGGCGGTTGTTATCCGCAGGTGGACGTGACGGCGAGTCGAGCCGTTTTCAGCGAAGAAGTGGAGCGCACTTTCCCTTCGCTGCGCTGTTCCCAACCACTCTGCAACGGGGGACCCTTGGTGGTACCTCAGACGATGACTAAAACTCAAAGCCAGGTCACGGATATCCATTGTAATGTAGATGGATACATTAACCCCCCCCCCCCTCATCCCGCAGGCCTCTGGCATTTGGACCTGATTGGCTGACAATTGACGACATCACATGTATCCCTCCATTTAAGACCAAAACAGGTGGATTTTTCCACATATATGGCTGTCACCTGATGATGCTAATTACTGGTGAAACGTCAAACTCGAATTGTAAATGTTGTGGGTTTACTCTGCAACACCCCGTTGTGCTGAACTAGTAACGAATTGGAATGTTTTGTTTACGTGACAAACCTTACTAATTGGTTGCGCCGGGTGGTGGCGGGTTTAACGACAGGTTTATATTGACACGATCTAACCCAAAAACCTCTATTATGGATCACAGCTCGTGATTTGCACCCCAGAGGTCATGCTGCTACCAACGGTTTAAAGGCAATGCCAGTTAACGGAGTTCTAAAATCTAACTCACGCACTTTCTCAAGTGCGGGCAGTCCAGAAACAAACGGTAACATTTAAACAAAGAATGCCAGCATGATATGCATTTAGAGATGACATCTCCATTTGTGGCTCTTTTCAGTTGGTGGTCGTCGCGAAGCCATGTATGTACAGAATGTGCCCAAGAATGGTGATATCCTCTTGCCATTGGGGATTAACGGTATGTTTTAACTGTTGAAGGAATAATTTTTGTGCGTTTTAACATCACGTTTGGAAAGTGATTAACAACACTAGATGCATTCCATTCTGACTGAGCGGTGGAACGTTGGGTATATTTACAAATTACACGAGATGGGCACTTGGGAATGAGTGGAGGACTTGCACAAATAAAGCAGTGCATCTCCAGAAGCTCGCCGTAATTAAAGAAGCAAACTTTGATATATATATCATAAAAAAATACCCAAAAGCAATCTGTTTCAATTTATACTCAAAACAATATCACGCCACAATTATAATGGGAGACTACAACTAAACGCGTGATCACTAAACATGCCCTCGGATTAAATTCAACACATGCAATTTACGAGAGAGAGAGAGAGAGAAATAAAAATAAAACAAATAAAACACCCATTCGGCTTGTATGTTCAACGCGGAATAGCAGCATTACCCTGTTTGTTAAATGCCACGCACTGAACTGTTTACGGACAAAGCGGGATGATATTTATTCTGGCCTTTATTAAACTGCCCAAGAGCGTAGCACCTCCACATCCCCCGGATAGGGACGCCCATTAGCGATGGGGTTTGGCGAGGGCGGTGGTGGGAGTTTTGGCTGCACAGGGGGGGGGGGCAGAGCGGGGGGCAGGGGGAGGATGCCGCAGCTGTTACAGCCCCTAATGAAGTGTGGAGCTCGTGTGCAGGAGTTGCGTGGCCCCGCGCTGGCCCTCTTGGCCATTAGCAAAACGCCTCCCGACGTCTGAAGGTGAAATGTCTCCAAACAAATTGGCCGGGCGCTTGACAGCACCACGGCCAGCCGCTAATTACAGCACAGCGCCACGAGTTTACAGCGGAGCCCCAGCCGCTAATGGCTTAGGAAAGGTGCTGCACCAGCCGGGCCGCGTTTGATTAATATTTGATCAAGGGAGGGACGGGAGCGGAGAGAGTGTGTGCGAGAGAGGAGGGGGAAAAAAGAGGAAAAAGGAAATAATAAAGATAAAACGCCACAACGCTGCCAACAACACTGATGGCCAGGGGTGCCCGCTCTGCCACCGCCGCGGGCAAACAGAGCCGACGAGGCCTTCACCGCCACCCCCACACATGACGGCGCTGTGACAAACAACGGCGCCGGACAGCGGCGCGTGCCCCGCCGACCGGCGAAGGTGCGCGCGCTCGTATGCGTAAACACGCTCGCACGTGGAGGGTGGGGGGGGGGGCACGTGCTCGCACTTCCCAGCGCTTTCCCCCCCTTGCTTCCTCTTTGCTTCACCCGCGCTTCACCCTCGCGCGTGTCTCCGCATGCGGCCACTTGGCCCTGAAGGCAACCGCTTATGTGTGTGCGTGTGTGTGTGTGCGTGTGTGTGTGCGTGCGGTGGTGTAGCGGTTATCGCACTGCGCTATGAACCTGGCGACCTGGGTTCGATTCCCGCTCACGGCTAACACCAGTGACGATTATCTGAACAGGTCCTGGGCCTCCCTGAGGTCGACTCAACCTCAAATTCCTACCTGGTCCGCCACTGGGGAGACAAAGGTGCTGGCCGCCCAACCCCTGGTGTGACGTGCGCCGTGCCGGCCTTCATAGGTGCTCGCAAACAGCACTTGCCCCAACAGTATGTTAAGGCTATACAGGGGAATCTTTGTCTTTGTGCGTGGATGCCCGTGCAGTATACTATCAGCAGGTTCTGCAGCGATACATCATTAGACAAAGTCACGTGTAACGTAAATAAATACCAAATAATTAACGATAATAAACTAATAAAGAACGACTGGGAGAGAGCCACAGGCACTGTAAACTTCGTGTCTTGCACACTTGGGCATTTTCATAATTGTTTACAAAGTGAACCATTTACAGCCCTTTGCCGATATACCGCTGCATGAAGGCATACCCATGTTTGTGTTTGCATGCGGAGGCAGTGATTGCCAAGTTTCACCACGCTTATCAGTTTGAGTCGATCAAGGGGTGGGTGCTCAGAACCGGCGGAGATATCGCTTGCCGCTGGTGTCAGCCGAGGTCGAGAATTTGAGAAGCTGCTGGTTTCACACAGCAACCGTGCTAATAACTGTGGCCAATTATTTAGAACAAAACATTTTTTTTGGAACGTAATGAGTTTGGATGTTACGTTTGGGTATACAGAGAGTTTGTTGGTACGGAGCGTATGTATGTCTTTGTTTGTGTATGGGGGAACGGTTGCTTAGCGGTTATTCCACTGTGCCACGAAACCAGCAGCCCAAAATGCAATTGCCCGCTCGTGGCCAACATCGGTGACAAATGTCTGAACCGGTGCTCACACCTCCCCTGGGTGGAATCAACCCTAAGCGAGTGCCTGGCGCAGTGCGTAAACGCCAACACCGGAAAGACTGCAAAGGCAGCCAGGCAATGGTCGTGGCCACACGGCCGCCTTGCACGCTGAAGACGCCGCACTTTCCCCGACAGCCTAAAGAGGACTCTCGATGGGGGATATTTGTCCCTGCAGAGCAATGTTGTACACAGTGTGCCACCCGTCGGTGGAATGAACGGAGGTATTGCCCGATTTGGAGGCTTAACATTTCTACAATTGCAGAGCAACCCTCATGACTTCATACCAACAACAAAAAATCCGCAGTCTTTTTTTTAATAAGGGGTCTCCAGATTTGTAAAACAGTAAATTAAAGACGAATAAGGAGGCCCCAATCAGCCAACAATCCTGTCAAACGAGGCATCATTATAACCATTGTTTCCAGCTAAGTAAAAAAGCCCTCCAAAGAAAAGCCTCTTGGATGAAAGTTTACAGATTAAAAAAAAAACTTCAAGTAAACCTCTGAACCCGACATTTTTCTGAGAGCACAAACAGACAAAACGGATAGATGTCAAACAGGACCCTCCCGAAATAGGGTCACGAGACTCAGCGAGGCTCTTTCCTGGATTAAAAATGAACTGGCAGAAGTTGAGAGGTAAAATTCAATTTCAGGCCTGACATGAGCAGTGGGGGGCTTTGCTGTTCGTGGCATCTGTCTATGGTCACAACTACAAGCACACGGCGCTGAGATGCATCGTCACCGTGGCCTGTGATGCACGTGGCAGGACAGGCTTGTGCTTGCGTACACAGAACGATTGCGTCTGCGAGCAAAAAAGAAAAACAAGCTTATCACCATCATTAACAAACATGGCCTAATGCGCTAACCGAAAGAGACGTACGTATGCTCAATGTTGGAAGCTAAAGGCGTTCTTTAGAGCGCAGGAAGACAGGGTAAGCATAAGACCGTGACAGTGCGTGAAAAACATTTCAACGTTGCAACGGTTTTAAAAAAAAAGACTGGAATTTCTAACATAAACAAAAGCGTCAATGCAAGGTATTTTTTTAAAAAGACATTTTCCCATTCATTACGCAACAAAACCTTAAAAAACGCCCGAAGCGATACCGCAACAACAACCGACAACATCAAGTTGAGACGTTTAACATCAACGTAAAAATCACGCACACAAAATGAACACGGCACGTCGAAAACATTGTGATTATTTTCACGTCTACGTTTCATCCATCCGCCGGGTTGCGAGATTTACTCAACAAGGAGAGGTTTTTTGACTTTTTTTTTTAGCACCGGGGCTGTTAACGCAGCTGTGCAATGACACATTGCGTACGTTGGCCGCGGAAAGAGTTTCCACAAGCAAAGGCGGAGAGGCAGGATCGAGCATCGCTGGGAGCAGGAGGAACAAAATGTTTTGAAAACCTCGGTGCCACGAAAAAAAGAGTATTTACGATGGGATGTATGCTTGACCTGAAAGAGATGTTAATGTTACAGTAGTGAGGTTTTTTTTTGTTTAAACACGCACATTTCCTTTCGCTTAGCCTCCTTGGTTTTACTTTTCTTTCGCTCGCTAACCTGTTCTTTGTTAAGTAATAATAATATTAATTCTAGACAAAAAGCGAAGGCATACCAGAAGTTATGAATTCACTGCTTCGGTGAACTTATACAATGAAACAATAAAAGTGGGTGAATTAAAAATAATAACGGGGTGGGGTTATTCTTTTTTCATTTAAGAACCGAGAGGAAATGAAGATCTTGACGTCGCCAGATTCAGAAAACAAGGCTGCGGTGGTCTTTCTCTCATCTCAGTAATAGTATAGATCAAACCTTGTTATTACTTTGAATTAAGTTGTTAATACGCACTTCACGCTAATTCTTTGCACCGGTGAAGATAACAATGTTATAGGTACACGTAGTGGCCCAGTCTGGCAACTGCTTGCTGGTGGCAGGGCCTGCACTTCAACGGAGCAGATCTGGAGAGCCCCTGTAAGTGGATATGCGGCCCACTCTCCCGCGCCGGCCAGGCGTTTCGGAAGAAGTGAAAGCATGCCCACGCTTTATACCCACCACACGCAACCTGCGGGCTGACTCGCTGTGCTGTGCTGCTTGGAGACTTGCTGGCTGCACCGAGGCGAGGACCAATTGGGGAGCTTTGCAACACGGCCTCAACTGCCGCACCGGGAGATCGCACCGGCAACCTCTGAATTGAAAGTGCAGCGTGCCAACCACTGCACCATCGCAGGTAAAACGATGTTATAGGACGGTGGGAGGCGGGGGGGGGGGTGGTTCCTTGCTCCTTAAAATTGACATTAACTAACTTTGGGAAAAACTACCACAAATATCATCAAATATCTGAGGAGGATCCACACACACCTCCACATGAACACACACACACACACATATATATAGCTGGTGTAGATAAAAGGAGACTCACCCTGGGCTAATGTAGACAAGCCTTGCCCTGGCAATGACAGCCCCAGTCCTTGGCGCTGTAGGTTAATCAGGTGGTGCTGCTGTTGAGCTTGCAAGAGCTGCTGCTGGAACGCCAGCTGGTGTGCGCCCAGATGCTGCGGAGTCAGAAATCCCGCGGGGGAATTAGATTTCCGCTTCGGTATTTACAGCTGCCACATCAGCACCTCCTTAATAAACACGTTGGAATAAGGATTGCATTGACAGAAATGTGAAGAGCAGAGTGCTGGGTTCTTTTTTTACGGGCCAATTATAGTACAAAATGGCTACCCTCTGTGTTAAAAAAAAATACAGAAATGCATACTGTGAGGTGGAGTGGTGGGTGCAGTGGATAGCGCATCCATGCTATGAACCCGATGACCCGAGTTCGGAATCCCCTGACACAGCCAACATCGGTGGCGAGTTTTATCCGCTGCCGGTCTTGGGCCCCCCCCACCCTCCCTTCATCAAACCGCAGAAGTAACCAGCTTGGTGAAGTAAGGCCAATCTCATACGTAGGCTTTCACGACCACAATTATAATATCATAGACGCGACACTGTTACACATTGCATGTAAATCGTCAACAATTTGCTTGCTTTTCAACGTAACCAGTTTGCTGAAAAACATCATAAATTGGAAAATTTTGCCCATGTGGCAACTTTCTTTTTTGGCTTTGTCGGGTGGTGGAGGGCACGTAGCTCGAATGACCATACCGATTATGAAATCAAGCATGGCCAAACGACCCTCATGACAAACACGGCATGGGAGGGCTTCATCTAGCAGTGGAGGGGCAAAGTGGAGCAAATTATTATTATTATGTGAATAATAACTCAGGTCATCAAATTTTCAACTTGGTGCACTGACTACTGGTACCACGGCTCCACCACACAGAATGTATGTGTTTCTAAAATACAGGACATACATTAACCGAATTCATAAATCGGATGACGACCCTCGAAGACAATGGTCTTGCTTGCAAGGGAGGCTCTCCAACGATCACGGCATAAAAGGTGAAACGAGTTCAGGGCTATCAATATAATAATTACAATGTATTTATCTCACAGTTGCTGGTAGTGGTGGTGGTGGCAGATATAGGATGCAATATTTTTATTTGCTCCAAAGTATTTACGTAAAATATTTCTCAATCAGCTCTCCCAAGTAACATATCCACTACGAACGCCAGATATTATCGCTTACCCGTGCGCTCTATTTATCAACGCCGCGCCGCACGGCGACGCAATTACGCAGTTGTAACGCGCGGCATTTGGAGAATACATTTCCCATTCTCGTGAACTGCACGAGACAGCACTTGGGAACAACAACCCGAACAACAATAAAAGGGAGGGGGGTATTCTGTTCAAGTGATTCACTGGACCGGACGCGATGCTTCCTGCTGTTGTTCCTAAGTGCTCCCACGGTGTCCGCGCGATGTTCATTCGTTCCCCCATGGTGTGCATTAGCTCTCCGGCCCGCCGTGGCGTGGCGGTCAGCACGCCCCGGCGCTGACGTCCCAAAGGTTCAGGTTCTAATCCGGACACCTCCGGGAAAAAAAACCGTGGTGGCTTTGCGTGAGACAGCCGCAACTGGGAAGCGCACCTCGTATCAAGGTCGGTCGGCACTTCAATGCAAAGCTTGTGAGCCTGGTTTGAGACCAGAAGTGAAGGGGTAAGTAAATGTTAAGCCACCACTGCCAGAAAGGGCTTTCACAATAAGGAGCTCCGGAGGAGGGTATTTTGGTTCATTTCATACGTAGACTTTCGCGACAAATATTATGGTTTGTAATTAACTTTCTTTTGGGTTAGACTGTGTAGGTATAATGTCAGTTTTTAACTATAATCCTTCACCACCAACAGCAGAGCCAATCAAATCAAGTTGTCACGTGGGCAAATATGCCAATTGATTTGGTTTTTCATTAAACCAGAGGAGGAATGTTGAAAAGCAAGCACATTTTCCTTGTATATAATTTGTATAAAATTGTGAAAACCTTGCTTGCTTTTCAACATTTCAGTTTGCTAAGAAACCAAATCAATTGGCATATTTGCTCACGTGACAACTTGATTTGATTGGCTCTGTCGGGTTTTTGGAGAATTATCGCTCAAATTAACATTGTATGTACACCCAAAGGAAACCAATTATGGATCAGGATATTTTGGCCTTCTCTTCCAGGCTGGCCACACATCTTGGACGAGCTGGGAGTAACCGCCACACTTTTCATCGTCGTGAGTAACCTGCCGATACACTCAGCTGTTAAGACTAACTGTTCAGGTTAGAAGGCCAAGTGTAAAATGTAAACTGCAATGTGCGGGTAAAAGCCCTGTATTTTCTGGGCCACGAAGGAAGGGAAAGATTTTCGCCATTATCTACAGGAGGTATTTTAAGAAAAAGGGGGGGGGGGGGAAAGAAAGGTAAGTTTGAGAATCCATTACCAACACGATTGTGAATATTGCCGAGTGTCTGAACCCCACGGCATGTTTCCTCTGCCCTTCGAGGATCATGAATGTAGGCCGGATTTGTTTATTATTCTATGGGTTTTAACGTAAGAAAAAAAAAACACTATACATACTAAAAGTGGGAGCCCGTTGCTCTTTCAAACGTAAAAATATTTTTTCATATTTTTTTTTTCCATGTGCACGCCGGACGATAGGGCACAACCACTCTCTTTAAACCACGCCATCATCTTTGTTTTGGAAATAAACACCGCGTGGAGAAATGTCAAGTTTTCCAAACGGGAGCTGCAGCGGACCCCTGGCGTGCCAGGAGATGTTTACGGTGACTGTGCGGTGTGTTTTTTAAATAAAATTGAAACTTATTTTCGAAGGAGAAAAAAAGACAAGCCGGTGTTGACGGTTTTCCGTTGGCCATTTGTATATTTTCTGCTGGCTGTTGCTCCAAAGCAGCGCTAAGCAGAAGCAAGCCCAAGTGGCACGGACGGTCATCATTGAAATCCCAAACCACCACCCAACCAAAAAGACGTCTTCCATCTTTCCCCTTCAATGCGTCTCTCTCTCTGTCTCTGTCTCTCTCTCTCCCACTTTTCGCGGCTGTTAGCTCACGTACATGGGGTGGAGGGGGGGGGGGGGTTGGTAAATTCGATTTTTTTGCACGCAGCGAATGGATTATTACTCGGCGGAAAATGCCTAATTAGGCACCTGGGAGCGACGGCTAAACGTCTGAGCGAGATTCTTGGCAGGAGAATTCCCAGCGAACTTCAACATTTCGTTAAAAGTGCTTGAGCCTCTCTTTCTTCCCCCCACTTTGGCATGCATCTTTTTTATCATATGATTTGAATGTTTTTAAATCAGTCTTCATTTCCAAACCCCACCCCTCCCCTCCCCACATCACCCAACCCATACAAAAAAAATCCTTCAGTGGAATTTTTAAATCCCATCAGCTATTCGCTTTTATATATAAAAAAATTTTTTTTACAATTTAATATTGAACACTGCTTGCACAGGCAAAAGTTTTTTTTTTACTTCACACATACACGTGTCTAAACGCACACGTTCATATATATACACACGCGCGCACACACACACATAAAACACACTTTTTAAAAAGCAGAAATTTCTTGGGAAAGCGCCACATCGTGGTGTCAGCTACTGTGACGCGTACACATTGAAGAGCACACGCTCGTGTAAGTGTACATAGGATATAAATAACATGCAGGTGTGCTGGAGGGTTTCAAGGCATAGCGGGGTGTCTTGCTGGATTGGGGGCAGGGGGGACGAGGAGGGGGGTTGGGTGGGCTTGCTCGAGTCTCTGTCAGTTTGATTTATGACCGTGTCGCTGTGTTAGTCCAGGTAGGGGCTCTGATTTTTTTTTCCGCCCCCAAAATCCCCCCTTCCCCCACCCCTCCTCCCCCCCTCTGAAACTAGCACTTCATTAATCAGGCCTGGCCAGCCACTTTGAAGCCAGCAGCTCAGGCCTGCACGCCTCTGCGCTTTTCCATGTGAAACAGCAGGAACCTGTGTGTGTATGTGCGCGCGCACGTGATTGCCCGCGTGTGCGTGCGTCCTCATCACGGGGAACGGCAGTAGGGACGACCGACGGGGAGGCTGTGTGGGGGCCGTGCTCATTCAGGTGCGTGCGTGTGTGCGTGCGTGCGTGCGTGCGTGCGTCTGTGTGTGCGTGGCGAGCGCATGTGCCGTCTGTGCCAGCGAGGTGGGCCGCGCAATCGTGCTGGGGGGCTAAATTTACACGTGCGGAGGGAACTAGGGCCATAATCCTCGCAAGCCTTGACGGCTGGATAATCAGTGCTTTGTCCATCACAAGCCGTGAACTATGTTCGTGGCCATTTGTTATAACGCAGAAACAACCGCCACCGTAGGAAGACGCGGTGGTCGGGGGTGGGGAGGGAAAAAGTGGTGGTCGGGGATGGAGCAGGAGGAGAGAGGAGAGGAAGAGAGCGAAATGAAGGAGGAAAATTGTGAAAATAAGATGTTCGATATTAAAATCTCATGAGTGCCCCAGCTTGAGTGGCTGTAAGCGAAACCTCGGTCATTACGGTCCTCGATGAACGATTTAGAAAATGAAATAATTATTGCCGGTTGAATGTCACGAGAATCAACCAGGCATGAGTGATGTTTCTGGAGTGGCTCATACATAGATATGCACTTGCTTGTATATGCACACGCACACTCGCACACAGTCATAGACAAATACACATACACACAAAGGTGAAGACTGCTCATATAGCCAGATAGACTGTTGGGGAAAGTGCTGTTAGCGAGCACCTATTGAAGGCCAACGTGGACAGCTTGTCACCTCAGTGCCAATGTTACACAATAAACCAGGTATTAATTAAAGGAGAGGTTCAGACAATAATGGCCACTGATGTTAGCCTTGGTTGGGAATCAAACTGAGGTCGCCAGGTTCAAAGTACACCACGCACACCACTAGACTGGTCAAGGTGTACATCGTCACGACAATTAAATAGCAGTGTAAAAAATGTGACCACATCTCACACACGGTGTGTGTGTGTGTGTATTGAGATCGGCCACATTCTATTGTATTCACTCGACGCATCTTTACTTTTTGGGGTATTTTTCCGCCCCTCTATAGCTTGTACAAGGGCGCTGTAATTCCGTCTTTCTTTCATTGTTCTGCATGGTTCCCCTTTTCCTATTCTTGTCAAATCTTTCTTGCTGTGCGCTACAGAGTGCTCTGAGATACTTCTGCATCTAAGTGATGAATACATCTAAATCCTGATCCGTGTATATATATGTGTATATATATATACCTTCTACATACAGACACTCGTGGTAAAAAAAAAAAACTACCGTTCTAGCAGCCGCTCGTGAACTAAAAGTGAAACGGTGTGCACTGGAAAAAAAAGTACGTACTTCCGTCGGGTACATAGTCCTGACAGATACTCGTGTAGGGTTGTTTTATGTCCCCAGGTCTTTGCTACGGGCCTCCGTTCTTCTGTACAACAAAAAACCAAATGAAAAATATTATTTTAAAAAAGGACATACTTCCTTCGAAGGCTTGCTGCTGCTCTGCTGATGCTGTTGGTGATGCTGATGATGCTGCTGCTGCTGTTGTTGCTGTTGCTGCTGCTGTTGCTGCTGCTGTTGCAGGAGCTGAAGGTGGAGTTGCTCTTGTTGTTTCTTATAAAACTCCTGAAGCTGTTGCTGGGCAGAGGGAAACACAATAAACACAAAGAGAAAATTAAAACAAAATTTCGAAGAAAAACGCCGGTGTCAAAAGGTGGCCACGTTGGCTCAGAGACACAAATAATTCATAGGTAAACATTCCAGCGATGAGAATTTAAAACATTACATTTTTGGTTCGACTGCCGCGCGCAATAATCTCTACAAGCAGAGCACATGGGAGGCTGGGTAAGGCATTGGCATGAAGGGATCTCCAAAGTAGTTATCAGCTTCCACGAATCCTCATCTAACACAGGATAATGCACTGCTCTTCGAGAGTTCCGAATTGACAATTCATTCAAACTGCACGCCGACAGCAGAATTGGAGTAAAAAAAAAATCGGACGCAAATGACAGTCTTAATTTTAGAACTTTCGTGACTGCAGTAAATGATTATTTGGTTCTTTCGGTTAAGTCACGTCTAAAGATAAAATAATAAATTAAATTAAATAATAGCAAATTAAATAATAGCATTATTTAATTTAATTTATTATTTTATCTTTAGACGTGACTTAACCGAAAGAACCAAATAAGCAAATGACAGTAGCAAAGAAATGTTCCGGCGTCATACAAAATATGGATCTAATATTCTATTGTCCACTATGTGCGTAAAAGGATGGTATAACAGCCGAAAGAATAAGTACAATTTTATTTTAGTCTCGTTTGCATTGGTGAATTTCAAACGAATAGTGATCTTCAAGAAGAGTAAGCGTGATATGACTGTGTGTCTGGACCCGTCTCACGGAGGATACGCGTACGCCAAAGTTGTCGTCGTCCCGCTGACGGTACGCGTACGCCGACCTACAGCGCACCGTCCTCTGTGCCGGGCCGCAGATCAGCCTCCCGCTCCACACTTTTGACGGGAGCCATAGTCAGTCGCCGAGCGATTTCTACCCAGCGTCGCCTTTCCTTCGCAAATGTTTTTCAGATTGTAGCCTGAACCCTTCATTAAAGTGCAGCTCCTTATGCGAGAACAACATTTACCAAATAGTCTCTCTCCCCCCCAGGCAAAATTGGAAAATGTTTGGACTCTGCGGCATTTAAATTCTATAAACATAAATTATAAATGTCCTTTAAACTGTTGATGTCCCGACACATATTTTCCCTGGTGGCTTTAACCCTCTTGAATCTTTCAATGCAATACCATTAATGAAATGGTGCCGATGTCGAAATGACTTAAGGATAAGTGTTCATGTTTTTTTTTAATACTAACCATAGCTGTACACATGTAAATGAACAGTCGTTTTACCACTGTTTTCATTTATTTCTAAACACGGAGGTGTGTTTAAAAAAAATCGGGGTATCTTTTATTTTTCCGCAGGTGAAATTCTCCATCATCTGAAATAATTTTTTTCGGCCAGCAGTTTGAATTCGTTACAGCCATACAATTTGTTGCCTTTTATATATATGTGTGTGTATTCGAGATTTCGGCTTCGGTGAGAGAAGGCTTCCCATGTGAGACTGGCCCATCGTGACCCCTGCCATTGTGGCCCAACTCCCGGGTACGCGAGGAAAGAGTTACTCCTAACGGCGGCGCTGTCACTGCAACAAAACAGCCGGAAATTTGCCAGGACGAGATTAAATGAATTCCTCTCGCAAATGACTTAATGTCAATCCAAATAGTGAGGGGAAAAATAACACAGATGCGGCCCTTTTTGATGTGGCTAATCCTTTTCACGTGTTTCAAGATTTTGAGCGTGTGTCTTCCTCAATGGCCTAATGCATGACAGCTTGCATTAATGTTTTTTCTCTCTCTCTCTATCTCTCCAAGAAAATGTCCGTCACAGCTATCAAAGCTCTGAAAGGTTTTGTTTTTGGTATATTTAAGGCACAAACAACTCTGATCGGAGATTTGACGTTTCCTCGCCCTTTCCGCCATCACGACGTTCAAACGTCACGATGCTCGTGCAGGGTCGGGCGACGACACTTATCGAGTTTTGTGGAGGGAACTCCTTCAAAAACAGGGTTTGGGGGGAGGAGGGGGAGGAGAGGAAGAAGTAGAAGAAGAGGAAAACAAATGCCTGACGTTGATGTATACATTTTCAGAATTTGACAACAGAAAATCCTCTCGAAGAAAAGCGACTAGTTTGATGCTGTTTGTTCCGCGAGACTAGGCTCCCACAATGGCCATTGTGTTCCGGTACACAAAACACGTGAATGCACCTCTGAAGTCATGCATGGGTGTGTGCTGTCAGTGCTTTCCACAAAGCGACATTCAAACGCATAAGCCGCGCTGAAATTGCCGGTAGCCTACCAAAAAAAAGAAGAGGGTGGCGCAATGCAATTGTTGCTTCTTTTTCAGAAACTTAAAATGCGTTTGTAATTTGAGGTTGCCAGCCTTGCGCGGTGGTATGCAGGCAGTCGCGGGTTCGATCCCGACCTTGACGCCTGTTGTATATTTGGAGTTTCGCGTGTTCTCACCGTGGTCGCGTGGATTTTTCTCCGGGTCCTCCGGTTTTCCCCTTCACCATTCATAAACATTTGGCTGCTGCTATAAATTTCCACGCGATAAGCCACTTCGCTGTGCTATCATTTGTGGGCCTTACCTGGTAAAATAAAGAATGTAAATTACTCGCGGCAGTGCCTCGAGAGCGCTCGCCTTTCTCGTAGCTTCAGAGTTTAGTCGGTAAATGCCGCTGGGCTAAGGACCGTTAGCGAGCGCCTATTATCTAAGGTCAGTATGCTCATGAAGCTGAGCCTACCAGGACAAGTTCCGATTGCAATCTCCATGCAATAATGTTGGCCAAGCCGAAAAAAATCAAAGCTAGGTCACCACAGACCGCAGTGCTGAATAATAACCATGATGACAAAGCCAAAGATCCTCTGTATAGCCGCACAGACTATTAAGGCCCCCGGATAGCCGTACATATGGACTGCTGGAGTGAGTGCTGTTTAGTAAGCACCTATTAAAGCCACATAACTCTAAACAAACAAAGACTAAAGATCCCCCCGTCTTAGACTGAGCAGACTGTTGGGGCACACACACACGCACAGACGAATTCATGTTATGCTATCATACCAGAGGTGGAGAACAAATATACACATACACATCACTGTAATTTGAAAGTAGATTAGCTAACCTGTGTCAAAATTGTATCTCCTAATGTAGGAGGACACATGCCAGCTCCCCCAAGCGAGATGGAGCATTGTTTTGTAGATTAAATGCTGTCAGGAATCAAATCAAACGCTTTGAGAACACTAAACTGATGCTGTACCAGTGGCCCGCTGAAGCACGGAGAGGTGCCCTGCCTTCCTCGCAAGCGGCGTTTGTCCTGGCCACAATGCGAGTGTAAATGCACAACAGCCGAATTGAATCTGAACTCAGCAGTGCACGTGGCTGCGAGTGCGCCTTCCTTACGACGGATGCTGCTGGGCAGTTGGGGAACGGGTCGCCCTGCCGAATGGAGGATGGAAGAGCGACGCTCACAACAACGAGCAGAGCACCGGGGAAACACAGCGCAGCAAGTTTGCATAGTGAGCAGCACAGGTGGTGCATCCGCCAGTCACCACAGTCAAGCCATGGCACCTGGGTCCGTGTTGTGACCTCCTGCAGCGAGTCTGCGGCAGGCTTCACGTGGCCACAAAGTGAACCTAGCCTGGCACAGGCATTATGTGGCGAATTTTGTTGTGTGTGGAGGGCAGTGGTGCAGTAGTTAGGCACACTGCACGGCCAACCTGGCTACCACATCTAACATCAGTGGCAACTGGTATCAGAATTTGTCCTGGGCCTCTCTTAAGTAGACTCGCAACGCTACCTCTTTGTATGCTATCCTGATCTTTATAGGTGCTCACTAACAGCACTTAAAAATCTGGATGACTGTACAGGAGATGATGATGATGATGTATTTATATATGTGCATGTATGTATGTATGTGAGAGAGTACGTGCGTATGCGAGTACAATGTGTGTTCTTAAGTGTGCATGTGTGCGTCCGTGCATGCAAGTGTGTGTGCGTGTGTGTGAGCATGTGAGTCTGTATTTGGATTTGTCTGTGTGTGGGCGAGCATTATTTAAATGCTCAGCATGTTGTCTTATATTTCCAGGAAGCCCCGTTGGATTCCTGGACGCATAAAGCGCTGCTGGTGAACGCTGACTTGGGTCACGCGTAGTTCTGGTGTTTTTCGTTGCGACTGCATCAGCACTGGAGAGGCAAAGCCACCCGGACCTATGCGCCACTGGCCTCATCACCTAACCGTGTACTGAGCAAGCGTCTGTGGGTGCTCACCAACAGCGCCTGTCTCTTGCGACATTTCTACCGCCACTGGGAGGGAAAACCAGAGGCTGCGTCTGCCCAGCAACGGTCCCATTTTACTTTCCACGATCAGAAACTTGGCTCCGAGCCACGTCTCCTCACTTCAACGAGCCATGATGGGCCCTCTCCGAGAAGGTTCCCTTTCACGTGACGTTTCATTCGGCGCTTGGGTTGGGCTAAGGGCACGCGAAGCCGAAAACCCATCGGTTCCGTGATCTCCTTCGTTTATTTGACACAAGAGGCAGCCACGGCGTTCTTCAGCGACCGCGCGTCAACGTTTCGTGCACCGACGCCGTGACGCCTCGCCGCGGCTAGTTCAGAGGTCGGCCCAGGGGCAAAAAGGCGCGGCTTCCCTGAAACTCTGGGAACTCGCTTCATGGGCCGCGTGGGTGTCGGGTCAGCAGGACAGCTCTGACATGGACTTGTGGGATGACGCTGAAGGCTCTATTTACAAACCTATCAAAAAAATTGATTGTTTTAACAGGTAAGGTCCACTGAGCTATCCGGCTCTTTATCAGAAGCGACCCGGCCACAAGTGATAGCTCAACGAAGTGGCTTATCAAATGGAAATTTATAGCAGCCAAATACTTTACACGCGTGTTTCTAAATATAGTGGGGAAAAAACAGAGAACCGGGAGAAAAATTCACACTACCATGGGGAGAGAGACATGCAAACTCCAAATATGCAGGCATCGGGGTCGGGATTAAACCAACAATCTCATGTATACCAGGCGAGGGAGTTAACATCTCACCACCACGAGCACCCCCGTGGTGTGTTTCTGCTTCCTTTTGAAGATGTTTACGTGTTGAATGTTTGTGCTGGAATTTTTTCCACAATTTTGCGTGAGCAGTAAAAATTGTCGCCAATACTTAACCACTCTTCAGTCGCCCTCCGACGTGTTTCTGGGATGTACTGCGCGCTGCTCGGCATAATGTCCGACGTTTCGCTCCATGTGCTGGGAGCTTCTGCAGCAACTCAATTCCCAGAAAATCTAATCAAGTTAAATTTATGGATTGCCTTCACTCAAGGCCCTTGACATAGCTTACTAAATGGTGAGAGAATGGAATGATTTAGATTGCAGCGGTGCACAAGGATTGAGGAATGAGTGACAGTGATCGAGGGTTACTTATGTATCACGAAAGGGGTAGGGGAGGGACAGGAAGAAGTGGAGGGGCGAGGGAAGGGAAGTTAACGGGCAGGAGAAACAAGGTGAGGCTTTAAGAGAGGAATGGTAGGAGGTTAAGGAGGGGGACTACTGTAGAGGAGTGTGAGGATGGAGAAGGAGGGACAGAGAGAGAGAGAGACGGAGAGAAGATTGGGAAAGGAGAGGACGAGAGGGGACACGGGAGGATATGAGAAAGGCAAGATAAGGTGGGGGCAAGGCCATGAAGAGGTTTAATGACCAGCGTCAGGTATTTGAAAAGACAGCGGTGTAGCAAACGGGAAGCCAGCGGAGTTTAAGGAGGAGAGGCAAAAGCGTGAGAATTAAAGGGGAGACTGATAGCAACACGTGGAGAGAAACGTCAGGCATCGTGCCGGACAATACACAGCGGAGAGCTGGACAGGAATGACCACGAGCATCTCCGCACCCCCCCCCCCCGCCCCCCACCGAAAAACCTGTTTACACGGTCTCAGCTCGAGTCGCCAGAAAAAAATAAAATTTTCCTACCGAAGCTTAAATTTGTCTTAAGCTCTGCACCCAGTGAAGCGTTACTCATCACCCCTCCTGCAGTGCTGATCGCAGGCCCCTCCCGTCGTCCGCAATCTGGACAAACAACCACTTTGGTCCCCAGGCGCCGCTGGCAACTGCGGCTCCCTGCACACTCAATACCTCGCCTTTCATCATCTCAAGTCTGACCAATGAATGCGAAAATATTTCCAGTGGCATGTACTTTTTCCTAATTCTGTCACGTTAATATGTAGCGCATCACACCCCACTGCCTTTATCTCGCCCTTACCTCCCACATGCTGAGCAGGTTCTAGGTAAGACCCAGGATTGGGTGTTTGGTTATCAATTGTTACCCGTGGTTGGGAATCGAACTCGGGCCACCGTCCGCTATACAAAACACCCCCAATCCACAACAACGCAACACTGATCACGCACATACGCATACGGTTACACACGCAGAGAGTACACTAGGAATGTAATGATTCACCTCGAACGAACATTGCATCGCAAGAACGTAAGAGTTAGGGGAAGGGCTTGGGGAGGCCTTCATCCAGCGGTGGATAGATCATGGCCGATGACGATGATTACATGCGGCCTACAGTGCAATGACCAGGGGTCCTGGCAAGTGCGCCGATGCACCTCCTTGAATCACACAATACATCTCGTTGGCAGCGCGAGATGGCGAGTGTACCGCTGCGCGACATTGTGACGGGCGAGTCCGGTGGCGCCAGCTCCTCACCTGCTGCAGGAGCACCGCCTGCTGCTGCTGCTGCAGCAGGGCCTGGAGCTGCTGCGGGGACAGCACCTGCTGCTGCAGGAGCTGCTGCATCTGCTGCGGTGTCACCACTTGAGGGGACATCATGGCCATGGACACCGGAACCTGCACGACGCGCAGCGGGGCGGGAGAGCGTGCGATGGCGTTAGTCCCCCTTGCGACGTTCAACTGCGAACCATCAAGCGGTGCTTGCCAGCGGGCACAGGCCTGCACCTACTCAGAGCAGGTGCATTCAGTTATGTGTGCATGTGGAACTTCTTTTGCGCTGTACGTAGTCAACCGTGCTAATCGGAGGTGTGGGAGGACAAGACACTAAGCACAAAAAGACGTTGTAAAGAAATTCGTTTTCAATCTGAACGATTTAAAAATGCATAGCTCCAGTGGCTCCCTAACGTCGGAAGAAAGAGCGTTCCAGACGGCCGCAGACGCACACCCGAAAGCGCGCGATGCGGTTCCATGGTTTATGCTCCTCGACGGGATCCGCAAGGTACTGCGGTTCATTTGTGGCAAACGCGTTGTGTGTAATGAGCGCGACCTTGTTCGCATCGCCACCCCCACCGCCCCGAGTCGGGGTTGGTATCGAGCGTTTGGACACTTAGTTTGAGCACGCACGTTTGCATTTTTATCTGCGCGGCTCTCCGACGCGTTAATCGGCCCGACGACGCGACGTTCCGCTCCACGTGCTGACGAGCTTCGACAGAAAGTGAATATTTCAGTACGGGGCCAGAATCTGAATGTTAAATTCCTGAAGAAGCACCCAGCACGACGAGCAAAATGATGTTCGCCGTGCCGAACAACGCGCGCTCATAACCCCCGAATGCACAGACAGCGGAGAGCAGGACAGCTTCTGACTGTGGAAGCACGACTCTCTTGCACATTTAAATTCTCTTGCACATTTACATTATCGGCGCAACAGACAGCCGAGACGACGTTCCACTTCCAGAACCGTACACAGGTGGGAATGAACAATGTCAAACGAATGAAAAAACACATTCACAAGCACGTTGCATTCGCTCTTGCAGATCGCCAACATTCTCCAATGGTTGAGCGATGGTTCACGTTTAAAAGTTACACATCCCCCACTGGGCTGGTGTGTTTTTTTTTTTATCCCGTTCGATATGACTTTTCAAGGGGGTAAAAGATTAACAATTTGAAGACAATTTTGAGCAATGATCTTCCAGAAAGTGTTTTTTTTTTTTTGTTTATACCACTGCCTGTAAATTGGTGCTAAAACCTGCATTTTAGTGTTGAAGCAAACACGGTGATTATTCGCTGACGATGAGATTCATAATTGAGCGAGATTTGACAATTGAATAAATTCTCACTACTCCGCACCTTGCCGTGAAAGCGGCAGACAAATCCCACATCAGAATTAACAAAAAAAGCATTCAATCTTCACAATAAGACGATGCTGAGATTTTTTTTAAAGAGATTATATCGTAATCGAGATACATTTTAACGCCTTCCTTTGTTCTCGCTTTTCTCGAAACGTCTCTACATAGGTGGCCCCAAGAGACTCATTCAGTTGTGACCTTTATTTCACGAAGCCGACCAAAAAAAAATGAAGATAGAACAGGCGTGGTGGATACAGCAGCAAGAAAGCCAAGTGCATTTACGTTTGTGAGGTGGAATTTCAAAGACCAAATGAAATCTCAACGCCTCCGTGGGATGTTGTTACCATATTGACAAGCTAAGTACAAATACAACAGAGGGAAACAAATAATATTCAGGCAGTAAAGAAGGGCCAGGCAAGCAATGTATTCATTAATTTGTCAAAGTATATATTTTTTTATCGTTTGTCTGTTTTAATATAACACTATAACAACACTCCTACAAACATTAAAAACCCCCAGTATAACTCAAACACAGGACAAACAACCTTATTATTATTTTTGCTATTCATAACACTTTAGTCAGTACGATCGTAGTCAATAATATTAATAGTACAATTACAGTACTATTAATGGTGGAGTTAGGCTGCTTGACGGTAGGAACCTACCGTCAATTTACCCACAATGCTAAGAATGTAGCGAATGATATAATAGCAATACTGACACCACACACGTGCATTGTTAAACATTTTTTTTACGAAGCTCAGCCAGGAAGAGAATTCACCTTCCACTCACAGTGGCCTCTGTAGCGAGTGCCTACTCCGTAGACAGTTCATGAAAGGCATACACATCAATTCCGTGAAAGTATCACAATTTCAGGGTCACCATTCGATTCAAGAATCATTGTAATACTCTATTTTACCAACTACCGATTGCATTGTTTCTAAAGTATTTATCTCCTGTTTGTACAGTTTTATTCCTGCCCATTAGCTATACAGAACATGTTTAATTTGCGTACAGTTAGCATGGGTTGGCTACTTTCGGTGCGAAAGAAGGTTAGCATACATTCATACATGTTCTTCAGGTAAGTTTTAAAACAACAAGATCCCCACGCATACAATATCACGTAAGTGCCATTGCACGCATCGCGAGCATCGATTTTTATTTCATCAACACCCTAGCGAGCATGGCCAACCTTCAATTCTCAGCTCAGCCCATCTGACCTCAATGCCGTCGTATCTCGCCGAAAGTGAAAACGCAGGGTGCCAGCGCCGAGGAGAGAGCCCTAATGGCACAACTCCCGGCATTGCGCTGGCTTCGAGACCCACAAAAACCCTCCATCAAGAGCCACGTGGACAATACGACTCCAGTGCCCTCCGCTCCCTGGCATTAAAGATCCCAGGCCACTGTTATCAAACGTGAACCATTGTCTGGTCTTATCAAGCCAAAGTGAACTATCCGCTATAAAGTTCCTTTTTTGCTCCTCAATGTCACAGCCTTACGCATGTAAAGATAAGTACTGCACAATATAAGTAGGTTCACTGGGCCGTAAAACACATTGCATACTCGGGTCCTTACAATAATATTGATGGCAATAATTGTAATCCACAGCTTGTTGTCAATCCACTGCTGGATGAAGGTTTCCCCCCATGCTGTTTTTTGACCATACTTCCCCACACTGGTTAGTGCCGGTTGGTGAAATCGTGGTGGTGGGGGGGGGGGAGTCTATTATTGGTTCAGATATTACCCTCAGTCATCGCCGGGAATCGAACTGAGATTGGCTGGGTTCATTGCGCAGTGTGTGAACTGCTGCACCTCCCGCTCATAATGAGTGCACACCCCCCCCCCCCCCCATAATGATACAAATGGGGCACCTGAGACTCAGAAAGTCCAGCCAAGAACATAATCTCATGTTATCTCCAACACGGGAGCTGGAAACACTAACATTGCAGGCGGTAAACAGCCATTGACTACAGTCCCATTAAAATGTCAGACAAACGTTGATGCAGAGCCGATAAAAGTCACGGAAGAGATAGAAAGAAAATCAGGTTGTCAGAATAAAGGTGATTTTCAAAAACAAAAATTGCTGAACAGGCTATGCTGGCTCGGGCGATGCCAAAACCGCGTACTTGACAATGTTCATCGTATGACAGTGAACGTGCCACATTTCTTAACGTTTATTATTTAGCATCCTCTCCCATTCCCGACGGGCACCTTCACTTTCTGCACAAGTCAAGAGCAGCGCAGCAAGCGATTATTATTTTAGGTAAACAATCAATCAACCAATCAATGACCTTCGCTTCAAGTCCTGTAGGTCAGAGTCCACTGAAACTAAAGCGTCAGTGGACTCAGGGACTTTACAATTGGCAGAGTGAGAGCACCACCTGGGAATTCACACCTCGTCCCTTCACACCGGATGAACCCTTCCCGTGAATCTTTCTGAGAGTGTCAAAAAAAAAAGAGGAATGACTGGCGCAATTTGAAATCAAATGATGCACACGTTTATTTATGTATTCATTCCAAAATGTATTTTATGCTCTTTTACGCAATTCAAATATTCGTGGCCGGTGCGAATGGCAATCTTTGTATTTTTTTTTATTCAATCGGCAAGTAGCCACCGATGATGACACAGCCACATCCATACGTGCGAAACGCTCACGGCCCCAGCATTCCGTTGATTCTTAGCTCTCCGGAAACTGGCCGCACGTCCCAATTTTCGACAGTGCGTGGCTAAATATTGTTTTCAGATCGAGAGCACCGCCAACTGCTCTAAAAAAATATAAAGAAATCACCACGCGGATGTCAAATGATTTTAAATACTTCTTAAGGGCCAATCATTTCACTTGACACCATTTACAAGCAACACAAAAATGCAATCAGATTATAACATTTTAAGACGTGTAAAAAAAATCATTACTTGCAAAGGAAAAGCAGAGAAAGAGTTGAATAAAAAAAACTGTACAGAAGCCTTTTTCAATCTGAAATAACATGCCCGGCCGGTCTGATTATTGCTTCCATTAGGGCACTCAGGAGGCGTGAATTCTCTTGTGGGAAAATGTGCTCAATTGAAGGCACTCGGCAAAAGCCACTTGAACTAGCGCGTGGCCAGCTGTGCGCCAGTGACCCACGCAAACGACCCCGGCTTGCCCTGTGATCCCTACACGCGGTAGAAAAAATAGGAGACGATTGTCGGCCGGCTTTCTCTTGAACAAGCGTTGTGCTCAATTGAGCTCCGGCAACTTTGTCCACTTCCGCGCTCGCCGCTTTGTACACCTATTTACGCGGCCGCCCGGCTTTTACGGACACTGGCGGGTGGACTTGCGCTCATGTACGATTCACATTTGTTTGTTCATATATCGTCGTGAATAATGATACTCGTGCAATTAAATTAAACAAATCTCTCTCTCTGTGCTATGAAGACGGGCCATTGCCTGAAACGTCCCCTATTATTTTTAGGGTCACAGTGTTATTCACGAATGAGCTCAGTTTTTCATGAAGTTACGTGGGGGTATTTGGTAGTTTAAGAAACTTGGCAATGAGGCTACCATCATTCTGATTTGTGATACCTACGGTTCTTTGCAGACTCGAAGAAATAGTTCATCCCGCGCACAAACAGAAAACGAATTAAAACTGTAGTCACCAAAAATGCAAGCAAACATCATATCGGCGTTCACTGACATTTAATTACGAGACAGGAAGGCCACCTTCAACAGCTGCAGGTTGTGCAAGGAGTTTCCAACTAACGTTTAAAATAGCAAGGAAATGTAAGCGAGC